CCTGTCAATAAGCTGTTGTTAAGTACTGTGGAATATTTTAGGCATTATTAATATATTTAGTTCTTTTATAATACTGTGCATCACACTGAATTTGTAAGATACCTTACTTTTAATTTACTATACAGTTATTTGCTTATGTTTGAACTCCTAAAATTGGTCGACTCTTTTGTTGAAAAATTGTACTCAAAGTGCTGGAAAGATGCTATATAAAATTAACATATTATTATTATTATTATTATTATTATTATTATTATTATTATTATTAATATTAATAATAACAACAACAACAACAACAATAATAATAATAATAATAATAATAATAATAATAATAATAACAATAATGACAACAACAACAATAATAATAATAATAATAATGATAATAATAATAATAATAATAATTATTATTATTATTATTATTATTATTATTATTATTATTCAGGGTCTTGTTATCATTTTTCTTGTGCGAATGTGTTTATTTCCTAATAAGCAACTTTAAATGAATTTTATTTATACAGTATATGCATATGGATTTAAGAATATACTAAAAATACACTTCTATTTTCATTTTTAGATTAACTAATGATGTTTTGGACAAATGAGACAGATGTTTTGATTCCTGTTGTCTTTGTTAAAGTTTCCATACTAAGGAAACTTACAGCAAATACAATGTTTTAAACCTTACAATAGTAAAGTTCATATATATATATTCTTCCGGAGAAAGTCTTATTTGTTTTATTCCGGCTAGAGTAAAAGCAGTTTTTATTTATTTTTTATTTTTTAACCATTTTGTGTGTACTCATTTATGCTCATTTCCCCCCCATTTCTGTTTAATGGAGAGAAGATTTTTTTTCAACACATTTCTAAACATAATTTTAATAGTTTTAATAAGTTCTAAACATTTAATAGCTTTAAACATAGTTTTAATAAGCTGTTGTTAAGTACTGTGGAATATTTTAAGCATTATTAATATACTAAGTTATTTTATAATACTGTGCATTGCACTGAATTTTTAAGATACCTTACTTGTAATCTACCATATAGTCATTTGCTTATGCTTGATCCCCCAGAATTGGTCGACTCTTTTTTGCACAATTGTACTTAAAGCGCTGGAAAGGCGCTATATAAAATAAACATATTATATTATTATTATTATTATTATTAATATATATAGAAACTTTCACAGTATGTCTGATAATATTTTTTCTTCTGGAGAAAGTCTTATTTGTTTTATTTCGGCAAGAATAAAAGCAGTTTTAAATTGCTTAAAACCATTTTAAGGTCAAAGTTATTACCCCCTTTAAGCAATTTTTTTTTCTAATAGTCTACAGCATTTTAAAATAGCTGTATTAAACGGATATATTTATTAAAATAATAGTTTAGTCACTGAACATCTTTAGAAAACAAAAGATAATAGATTTAAATGCATGCAAAATATTGGTGAAAAAATGTAAAACTTCAAAATGTTATATATGGCTATTTTTAATTTTTAAATTCATTATTTTCCCTCAAATAAATTTGGGCGTTCTAATTATGAACCGTTATCATAACTTATTTTGTCAGATTAGCTCCAGATTTGGCTTCAGTACTGACTAATCTATGCACAAATACAACATTGTAAAGCTTCCTTTAGAAAATACTAATATAACTGAGATAGATTTGTGAGGGGTGTACTCATATGTTGACCACTATAAAATATAAACTAAAACATATACTAAAGCATACTACAGTATATCACAGTTTATCAGCAATAGTAGCCTAGCCTATGTTGTATTTATAGTGTTGTGTATACTGTAGGCGAATATGTACAGTATATAATTCAATTTGCAATAGCATGGTTTAGAGCAGGGGTCACCAATCTCAGTTCTGGAGGGCCGGTGTCCCTGCAGGGGTTTAGCTCCAATTTGCCTCAACACACCTGCCTGGATGTTTCAAGTACACCTAGTAAGACCTTAATTAGCTTGTTCAGTTGTGTTTGATCAGGGTTGGAGTTAAAATCTGCAGGACACCGGCCCTCAAGGAACAAGTTTGGTGACCCCTGGTTTGAAGCTTCTATTGTTTTTTTTATAAACTATTGCAATAGTTTTCATGTGTGCTGCTGGCAAACTTGGTGGTTTAACAAACCGGCATTAAACTATTTTTCATTATAGCCTAATTTATGATAACGTGTATTTTGTGTGTTCTTGCTGTATTGTCAATACCACTGTAAGTTGCAGTGGATAAAAACTGTACTACTTTTTAATGAAGCTCCACCATGATAATTTATGTTTTTTTATATTTTACCCACATTTGTAATCTTTCGTGTTAGCAAAATGTTAATCTCTTTTTTGTTAGGGTTTATGTTGACACGTTAGTAACAGTAACGTAAAGTGAATTAAAGGCCATGGAAAACTATTCAAAGTTAATGTTCTAATAAAAAACCAATTCAGTTATATATTGTGGAAACGAGTCTCTTTTTGCATAGTAGCCTACGACATATTGGCCTAGTACTTCTAACTTATACTTTAGCAGGCCCGGCCAGGGGGAATTTGCCTCATTGACAAATTGGTCTCATGTATGAGCTCATTTGTCCTATGTTGACTGCAATGCCATCATAAATAGTTAAAAATAATCCATTGAAAACCCATCAAATTAAAAAAATAATTGTTGTCATGCATGAATTTTTAAATGTACTTTTTTTTTTTTTTTACACAAGAAAGGCTGAGACAATTGTGAAGCTCTACATTATTGTTATTAACTTTTGTAAGTTTTTACTATTCAAATGGCCAACATCTGACTGAGAAAGTTGTGCTGGACAGTTTATTTTTAATTTTCCTAATAAATGACAATAGATTTGTTTTTAAAATGATATTCAGTTCAATCTAATTGAATTCATCTTTATTTGTATAGCGCTTTTACAATGTAGATTTTGTCAAAGCAGCTTCACATTGAAGATTACAGTGAATTGAAACAGTGTTGTCCAGTCTTCAGAGTTTAAGTTTAGTTCAGTTTAGTTCATCGTCCTTTAATATTCACCGCCGAGAGTCCAAACACTGAAGAGCAAATCCATGATAAATGATGTAATAAATTTGTATATATATATATATATATGTTTGGTCTCTCGGCGGTGAATATTAAAGCACGATGAATTAAACTGAACTAAAATCCATGATAAATGATGTAATAAATGTGTGTATATATATATATATATATATATATATATATATATATATATATATATATATATATATATATATATATATATATATATATACATACATACATACATACATACATACATACATACATACAAACATACATACATACATACATACATATATTTATACATATAATATATATATATATGTGTATATATATATATATATATATATATATATATATATATATATATATATATATATATATATATATATATATATATATATATGTATGTATGTATGTATATATACATTTTTTTATACATATTTCTTTATTCTAAATCTAGGAAATATTAGTACATCACTAGGTGTGGTTATGATGACCATACAACAAGCTCATTAAGCTAAAAATAGTGTTTAAAATGTGTTTAAATCTCATAACAACTGCAAAAAGGTCTTTTTTTTGAGAAAAATAACCACCCCTTTCACCAAGCTGGCTACGAACCTGTTAGTTATATAGACCTGTATTATACCATGTAGACCGTGTACAGCTTTTCAACAATGATTATGACACAAATCATTCTAACTGAATCGAATCTTTTTTCTGAATCGGTTGAACTGGGTGATGTTTGAACAATTCCTTCAGAGAATGAGAATCGATTCCTAGTGAACCACAAACCTTGCAAACGGCTGAAAATATACTGTATGCAAATGCATTACATACGAAACTTATGGGTAATGGGTAACACCCATGGGTGTGTGAAGGATAGTGTCGAAGTAGATTTAAAATGGTGTGTAAATATCGTCATAATGTGTAATGATTGTAATCAAATATGGCCTAAATATGCCGTTTTTGATAGATAAACTTGTTGCACTGAAGAACATTTAGTGCGTGTAAACAGAAGAAAACTACCTTTAAATGTGGTGTAGTGTTAAATGTTGGTGTTAAATTTTAATAATGCGTCAATTTCTTTCTAATGTAAACTAAAAGCTTTTAATGTTTCTGAAAACATCATCTTGTGAATTGTATAATATATCTGTGAAAATAATCAACGTTTTTTTTTTTAAGGAGAAAAAAATAAAAATAAATACACATACCCTGTATCAGGGGTGCCCAAACTTTTTCTATGAAGGGCCAAAAACCAAATATCGTTGATAGCCGAGAGCCAAAGATAAATATAAAAAAAATATTTAAATAAAAAAATAATAAATAGAAACATTACTTTGAATCGTCTTAACTTATGATACGTTTTTAATGATAACTTATTACGATAAAAACATAAACAATCACATATATAACACAGTGGAGTTCAATACAACCTAGTAAATAAGTACTATTATCTATGAATAAGTACTATTATCTAATGAATGAGTACTATTATCTAATGAATGAGTACTAGTATCTAACGAACAAGTACTACTATGAATGAGTACTAGTATCCAATGAATTAGTTCAAGTATTTAATGAATGAGTACTATTATCTAATAAAAAGAACTAGTGTCTAATGAGTAAGAGCTAGTATATAAAAAAACAGTAGTATCTAAAGAATGGGCACTAGTATCTAATGAATAAGCACTAGTACTTGGTCTTAATAGAAAAGATACTAGTATCTAAATAATAGGAACTAGTCTCATAAAAATAGATAAGCTATTGATTCGATGTTAACACGGCATGCCATACACATACACACGATTTGATGTTTCTGAGTATGTGAAAAGGTACTTGACAAAAGGTATTTAGAATCTTTCAAATGAACCGTTCTAAAAGAATCGAGTCGCGGAAATGAGTCGGACTTCCCATCAGTCGAGTGAACACGGCTCTGTTTACATCTGCGGAATTTCCCGGCGAGCGCCGCGAACCACTTCCGCAAACCTCCGGTCGATCAAAGCCTCGTCTCCGCCAAGATATAGAAAGGACCTTCTCTTTTCGTCATTAACGCTAAAACAACGGTAATATACATATTATTACAGCCACTGTCGTGCGACCGCTGTGTTTCGCTCTTTCCCAGGACATTATGACGTGTATTTGGATGCTGTTTGTGGCTTCGGGGAGAGCTAGCGTGAAAGCTTTTGTCTGCTAGCGTGGTAAACACATCACCTGCTGCTAGCCGGATGCTAAGCTAACAGCATCAGATGTTTGTTTTGAAAATGAGTCATTTATTTAGAATATAAAATGCGTTGGTCTTGACCTTGTGTGGGTAGAGTGTTTCGACTCATTCTTATGAAAAGCTCAAGCTTTCCGTACTGTATCTGTCTGAGGTCGTAAGTGAAGTCATTTGAGAGCTGTTGATGAAGAGCTAGGAGGGGATTAGATATAAACATGACACCCTAGATGAGGTTGCATCTGGTCTAAGATCACCTATCTGCGTAATGTTGACACTAGCAGAGCTGTTTAAACAGGACTCGTCACGGAAAGGAAAGTGAAAGGGTTTATCTTAAGTCTAGTTAACTTAGTTGGATTTGCAGTTGCTGTGAAGGTAGGTTTGATGTTTTTGCTTGCTTGTCTGAGATGACACATGATTGTTAAATTGTTTGGATGCTGGTTTGATCTGTAAAACCTAGTAAAGTTGGTTTTATATTCACACATTTGTTCTGTGATAACTTGTGTGACACTCCCTATGCTACTTTGAATATTAGTCTGAAGTCACATGTAAGCATGACTTCAAAACAACATCATTTATTTGACTGAACAATGCTGTACTTTGATAGTCGTTGGCTACTAATATTGAATATCTGAAATTATATTATTAAAGTCTTGATGTCTGATTATAAATCCAAATATACCTCAGTTGATCCGGCGTGTATTTTACATTTATTTTGGTCTTAGTCATGTGGTGGTGAGAGTAGGTATGGGACGATAACCAGTTTCAAGGTTTACCGTGGTTTGGAAAAAGTCAAGGTTTTAAAACCACCAAAGTTTTCTGTTATACCGTTCCTAAGGTATATGTCATTTAAAAAATTTTATTTAAACATTTATTACGTTTTTTCACAACAATTTTTTTAGAGACGGAACCTCTATATCTAGAGCTACTGATCCAAAAATTTTTAAATGTTTCCTATAATAAAATATGTATATTGGATTCAATGGTGGGAAACAGTTGTTGTTTTTTACCTGGAGATTTAAAAATAACTTATTTTGAAGCAGTAATCACAATACCATAATCCTGTGACAGTTTTATTCAAGGTTATCATACCATCAGAATCTTAAAAACAGGTAAAGTTGGTTTTATATTCACACATTTGTTCTGTGACAATCCCTATGCTACTTAGAATATTAGTCTGAAGTGACATGTAAGTATAGCTTGAAAACAACATCAGTATTATTTATTTGACTGTGAGCAATGCTGTACCTTGATAGTTGTTGGCGACTTTTATTGAATATCCGAAATCATATATTTTAAAGTCTTGATGTCTGAATGTAAAACCAAATTTACCTCAATTGATCTGCCATGTAGTTTAAATGTAATTTAGTCTTAGTCATGTGGTATAGAGTAGGCATGGGTCGATAACTAGTTTTTAGGTTTACCGCGGTTTAAAAAAGTCAAGGTTTTAAAAACACCAAAGTTTTCTGTTAAACCGTTCCTAAGGTATCTGTCATTTTTTTATTTAATTTACATTTTTTAAATGTTTTTTATATAACTTTTTTATTCAGATTTTAGGGCAACTGTATCTTCAGCAGAAACGCAACCTCTATATCAAAAGCTACTGCTCCAACATATTTTAAATGTTTCCTATAATTATATAATGACGGTATATGGGACAGTAACCAGTTTCAAGGTTTACCGTGGTTTGGAAAAGTCAAGGTTTTAAAACCGCCAAAGTTTTCTGTTATACTGTTCCTATATGTAATTTTTAAATATTATTTAAACATTTTTTACAATTTTCACAACTATTTTATTCAGTTTTTTAGGGCAACAGTATCTTCAGCAGAAACGGAACCTCTTTATCAAAAGCTAATGTTCCAACATATTTTAAATGTTTCCTATAATTATATATATATATATATATATATATATATATGTATATATTGTGTTCAATGGGGGAGTTGTTGTTTTTTATGTTTTTTTAGGCAGATATTTAAAAAGAACTTATTTTGAAGCCGTGATCACAATACCGTGATCCTGTGACAGTTTTATTCAAGGTTATCATACCATCAGAATCTTAAAAACAGGTAAAGTTGGTTTTATATTCACACATTTGTTCTGTGACAATCCCTATGCTACTTAGAATATTAGTCTGAAGTCACATGTAAGTATAGCTTGAAAACAACATCAGTACTATTTATTTGATTGTGAACAATGCTGTACCTTGATAGTCGTTTGCGACTAATATTGAATATCTGAAATTAAATTATTAAATTCTTAATGTGTGAATGTAAAACCAAATTTACCTCAATTGATCTGCCATGTTTAAATGTATTTTGATCATAGTCATGTGGTGGTAAGAGTAGGTATGGGACGATAACCAGTTTCAAGGTTTACCGTGGTTTGGAGAAGTTAAGGTTTTCAAACCACCAAAGTTTTCTGTTATACCGTTCCTAAGGTATATGTCATTTTTAAATATTATTTAAACATTTTTTATATGTTTTTCACAACTATTTTATTCAGTTTTTAGGGCAACATCATCTTCAGCAGAAACAGAACCTCTTTATCAAAAGCTAATGGTCTAACATATTTTAAATGTTTCCTATAATAATAATTAAAAAAAAAAAAAAAAAAAAAAAAAAAAAAATATATATATATATATATATATATATATATATATATATATATATATATATATATTGTGTTCAATGGGGAGAGGGGGGAGGTGTTGTTTTTTAGGCAGATATTTAAAAAGACATTTATTACATGTTTTTCCACAACAATTAAAAAAAAATAATTAGGGCACCTGTATCTTCAGCAGAAACGCAACCTCTATATCAAAAGCTACTGGTTCAAAATATTTTAAATGTTTCCTATACTAAAATATAAATAGTGTGTTCAATGGGGGAAGAAGTTGTTGTTTTTTACCCAGATATTTAAGAAAAACTTATTTTGAAGCCGTAATCACAATACTGTGATCCAGTGACAGTTTTATTCAAGGTTATCATACCATCAGAATCTTATACCGGCCCATGCCTAAGTGAGAGCTTGTTTGGCTAGTTTAACTTAAAGCTGGAGACATCATAAACTTGAGTTTATCTCAATGAATTCTTTAAAACAATTTACTTGCGTTATCAAAGACGCACATTCAAATCGTTTTGTCTTGAAATAGCCAAAGAGAAATCCCCAAGAAGCCATTATTCAAATGCTGCTTTTTGAATTGCAAATCAACAATCTTTTCACTTTGTGTGTTCACGTTACAGTGCTGATCTGAGAGTTATTTTTAACCTGTCTGTACAGCACACACACACACACACACACACACACACACACTAATTCCCGTCTGATTTTTCTGTTTTAGTACAGGGAAACATGTTTGGTAAGTGACGGGTGACAGATGGAGGGAAAAGGCCCGTATCGCATCTATGACCCCGGTGGGAGCGATTGCCAGGTTAAAGACGAGGCCAGCAGCCTCAGCTACAGACAGCTGCTAGAGGAAAACACCGTTTTGAGGGAGAGAATGAAAGGTCTGAAGAGTTTAGGTGAGGGCTCTGAAACTGACACTCATTTTTTAGTGCATTTGAGAACCGGCTGGTTCAGTTAAAGCGATAGTTCAAACCAAAACTGAAAATTCAGTCATCATTTACTCACCGTTTAGTTGTTCCAAACCTGTATGATGTTAATTGAGCAGAGAAGAAGATATTTTGAAGAATGCTGAAAACCTGTAACCATTGACTTACATAGTATTTATTTTTTTTAGTGCTAATGGTTACAGGTTTTCAGAAAGTCTGCTTTAATGTTAACAGAATAAAGGAACCACTTGAACGTGTTAACTTGAACAAATTAATTTGTTTACGTTATCAATCACTTTAATATAAACCACATGTGTGTAAGATTTTATAGTAGGCACTTAAATGGTTTCAATTTCCACAACTGTCAATGACTAAGCAGAGTTTTTGAGGTTGCATGTAGTTAAATTAATGACTTACACGGTGCTTAGTCAAGACATCTGAGTCATCATTTAGTTCACTGGTAAACTTGTGTTGCGATTACTAATTTGGACTTTAAAGTCTATTCTTGGGCCAGGAATTGAAAATAAAAATGTAGCTAAACCAGATTTTCAGCTTTTAGCGGGCATCTCCAGTCACTTGATTTGTTACTGTGTCATGTCTTTTTGTTACGTAAAGCATTGTTTGCTCTTCTCATGACTGATAGGAGACCTGTTAGAGGAGTCTCAGGCTGAAGCAGCCAAGCTGCGGAAGAGGGTGGAGGAGCTGGTGAGGGATAATGAAGTGCTGAAGTCTTCTGCCACCAGTTTTGCCTCCAGTCTGTGTATGGGCACTCCTGTACAAACTGAGACACACGGTAAACATCTGTCATTATTCTGATGGAGTGAGGTCTGTGAAGGATTTAACCCAGTTTTTAAAGCTGATCTTCTATGGTTGCGGCTCTCTTCAGGTCATGGAAAACGTCACGGTCATCCTACAACAGAAAGACAAGAGTCTCGGGATTGTTTGACTGGGAATACTTTACAGCAAGAGGCAACGGTAAGCTCTTCTACTAAAATAGTACATGTTCTGATGAATTGCTGGATATGTTTAGCCCTTCTGAATCTGATATGAAAATATCTACTGTGATAATTAGCTAATGTTGTCTAAATAATTATCACAACATGTTATAACGTTAAATTACTGTTAAAACAATATACTATTGTCATACAAACATTGTGAAATCTATCTATCTATCTATCTATCTATCTATCTATCTATCTATCTATCTATCTATCTATCTATCTGTCTGTCTGTCTGTCTGTCTGTCTGTCTGTCTGTCTGTCTGTCTGTCTGTCTGTCTGTCTGTCTGTCTGTCTGTCTGTCTGTCTATCTATCTATCTATCTATCTATCTATCTATCTATCTATCTATCTATCATCTATCTATCTATCTATCTATCTATCTATCTATCTATGGATCTATCTATCTATCTATCTATCTATCATCTATCTATCTATCATCTATCTATCTATCTATCTATCTATCTATCTATGGATCTATCTATCGTTCTATCTATCTATCTATCTATCTATCTATCTATCTATCTATCTATCTATCTATCTATCTATCTATCTATCTATCTATCTATCTATCTATCTATCTATCTATCTATCTATCTATCTATCTATCTATCTATCTATCGTTCTATCTATCGATCTATCGATCTATCGATCTATCTATCTATCTATCTATCTATCTATCTATCTATCTATCTATCTATCTATCTATCTATCTATCTATCTATCTATCTATCTATCTATCTATCTATCTATCTATCTATCTATCTATCTATCTATCGTTCTATCTATCCATCTATCCATCTATCTATCTATCTATCTATCTATCTATCTATCTATCTATCTATCTATCTATCTATCTATCTATCTATCTATCTATCTATCTATCTATCTATCCATCTATCTATCTATCTATGTGGATGGATGGATGGATGAATAAATAATTTACTATTTTCATTAATTACTTGCTATTCGATCAATTATATTATGATTTATATTCATAAACTTTGTATTATTATGATATTACTTTTTTATGTATTAGTTAGTATTGTGTTTAGGCATGGGCCGGTAAAAGTTTCTGACAGTATGAGAACCCTGGATAAAAATATCACGGTATCACTGTATTGTGATTACTGCTGCAAAATAGTTACTTTTTAAACTTCTTAGTAAAAAACAACAAAATTTTCCCTATTTAACACAATATATTGCATTTTAGGTAACATTTATAATATTTTGGAAAAGTAAATATGTCAGGCTACATAATTAAAATAAACTATTGACTTCTTCTATATTCTTTAGCTTCAAAAACACAAGTTTCCGTACAAATAATTGATTGTAAAATAATTAGAATTGTAAATAATTACAATAATTAAATAGTAATAACTAAATAATTAAATAATTACCGTTGTAAATAACTAATTGTAAATGAATTACTTTTTTAAATGTCTTAGTAAAAAACAACTTTAGTTTTTCCCATTTAACACAATATATTACATTTTAGGAAGCATTTATAATGTTTTGTAACGTGTCATGATTAAAATAAACCATTGACTTCTACTATCTTTCACTAGCTTCAGAAACACAGATTTCCTTACAACACATAAAAAACACTACATATACCTTAGAAACGGTATTGCAAAACATTTTTGCAATTTTAATGCCTTGATTTTTCCAAACCGCAGTAAACCTTGAAAACGGTTATGGTCTCGAGCCTAATTGTGTATGATTACAGTAAATGTGTTGAATTTCCTTACCTTTGATTTCCTGACAACAATATGCTATATTCACATGTAATGTATGTGGAAATCCTGCACTGAGAAAATACCTTCCAGTTTTTTCAGTGCTTGTTTATTTTAATCAACTATTAAGATATATGATTATTGTAACCAGTTTATTACTATCAAAACACTGCTTTTACACAATTTGCCATTTTTATTTGTAATGTCATGAACGTTGCACTGATGGAATCGATTGAAAAATCCAGATTAAGTATTTAAATGATCACCAGAATGTGCATTAATATGTTAAATTAGCATTTTAGCTTTGATACCCTGACATAATATGCTATATTAATGCTTAACATGGTAAAACCTGCTATATCATTTAGCTTTTAAAAATCAAAGGCTTTTTTAAAATAAATGATGGAGTTATTCATGTATTATTATATATATTTTAATTATTTTGTATTACTGTATATTATTTAGTTTAAAATGTATATTTAATTATTTTTATTACAATTATTTAGTTTAAATATTCTTTTTGACTTCATTTATGTGCAATCATACTCTTCATGGCTGTGTTTCACACGGATGTGTCATTGTTTCTCATCATGCTGTGAAAAGCCACTGACATGCATCTTCCAGTTTCATGACTTGGCTATTTTAGTGCCATATTGACAGTAAACCGTAGCTGTCACAATCACTGTTTCTAAAATCTAGTGAGAATGCAGCTTCCAGTTGTGTAAATGTTTTTTTTTCCTTCCTTTAAAATATTCATTACGAGTTGTGACGAGTGTTGTGAATTTTTGTGCTTACAGGAAGGTTCATCAGAGTTTGAGGTGGTGAACATGGAGGAAAAGACTGCCCCTGAAACACAAACGGTGAGTTTAAAGGATGTTAGGAAATCCTGGGCATGACAGCGGCACGTTTGTGAACTTGTGCGTGTGTTTTGCTGGATTATTGCTCCGTTTCAAACATTCCTTATGCTGTCATTCTGTAGCACGGATGTAAGTCATGTGAGAAATACCAGTCACTGTAGTCACTCAGCTGTTTCTGTGCCCTTCCTTATCAGGGATTTGTTCATTGTAATGAATCAGCGCATCTGAATGATTCTGTTCCTTGCATGACTCAGAGGGAAACTCCAGGATTTACTTAGTAAACAGATAGACAGAAAACTCATGTGTGTGTCAGTTTATGGAATGCATCTTTGGTTGCAAAAACTTTTGTACATGCGTTTTTAAAACTGGGAATATTTGTGCAGCGGGATTTTTTTTCTTTCAGTGTCTGACATTAAGGGCTGATCTGAATCTGTACATTATTGAGAAGTGCCAAATTGAATGGAGCGAATGTATAAACAATAAATTATATGAAGTAAATCCACTTGTAAATGGAATTATATATATATATATATATATATATATATATATATATATATATATATATATATATATATATATATATATATATACAGTTGAAGTCAGAATTATTAGCCCCCCTGAATTATTAGACCGCTTGTTTATTTTTTCCCTAATTTCTGTTTAATGGAGAGAAGGTTTTTTCAGCACATTTCTAAGCATAATAATTTTAATAACTCATCTCTAATAACTGATTTATTTTATCTTTGCCATAATGACTGTAAATAATATTTTACTAGATATTTTTCAAGACACTTCTATGCAGCTTAAAGTGACACTTAATGGCTTAACTAAGGTTATTTGGTTAACGAGGCAAGTTAGGGTAATTAGGCAAGTTGTTGTATAACAATGGTTTGTTTTGTAAACTATCGAGAAAAAATATAGCTTAAAGAGGCTAATAATTTTGTCCCTAAAATGGTGTTTAAAAAATTCAAAACTGCTTTTATTCTAGCCCAAATAAAACAAACTAGATTTTTTTCAGAAGAAAAAATATTATCAGACATACTGTGAAAATTTCCTTTCTCTGTTAAACATAATTTGGGAAATATTAAATAAAGAAGAAAAAAATTTGAAGGGGGCTAATAATTCTGACTTCAACTATATATATATATATATATATATATTAAAATCAGACATGGTCTGGTTGTACATCTATGAGATCTAGAATTGGCCACTCAAGACTTACACACTCATATTTATTGAAAGGAGAAGAAAAACCTTTGTGTCTTGTGAAAGAATAATTTGGTGATGAAACATATTTTATTTTTTAAAATATATTCATTTTTTGTTTTTTAATTCTGGAAATATTGTAAGTGAAATGATTAAAAGGTGTCTTTTGGAGGGATTTCAGAGTATTCATCACTGCTCAAATTGAAACCACTTGTATGACTTTTTTATTGGTAATGTTGTTATTTGTATATATATTTTAGTTGCCATGAATCTAGCCAATGGTGCTGATATGGCATTATGACATTTATTTATTTATTTATTTATTTATTTATTTTTTGTTGATTTGTTCATTTATTTATCTCAAATTTTTAGTGTAAAAATATTAGAAATTAATCATTAGTCATTTAATTTCGAGTATCTGCCGGTACCAAAAACCGATCTGATATTGCTATAATACATAAAAACAGAATAAAGAAAAGTGAAGAAACAGATCCAGCATGTTCCTTATTTTTTTTATTTAATTCACCTTATTTTAATATTCAACACCTCTGTTAACAAACAGAGCACTTCTGTAAGGTAACTTGAACAATCAAGTAATAAATAACATCAATTCTTCACTTTTGGATTTAAGTGTAACAGTAAATATGAAAACAAATTTAATATAAAAACACCTCAACCTAAAATACCCAGCAGGCAATCCCAAGTTTACATATCTCACAGTTTGCTATGGCATCAACTTTAAAAAAAAATAAAAACTGATTTAATTCTAACTAAAATAAAGCAAATAAGACTTTCTCCAGAAGAAAAAATATTATAGGAAATACTGTGAAAAATTCCTTGCTCTGTTAAACATCATTTGGGAAATATGTGAAAAGAAAAGAAAATTCACAGCATGGTGAATAACTCTGACTTCAACTGTATAATGCAGGCTGGAGTGCTTCACCTGCCACAGGAGAATTTGGAGCTGGCGAGTCAACTCCGCCGCCTGGAGAGCTCCTTCAGTGTGTTTGCTGAAGAGTCCAATCCCAACCAGCTGCTGGCTCACCTGGGCCGCATGGCTGTGGAGTTTCACCATTTATCTTCCAAGGTCCAGAAGAATGAACAGAGGACATCTCTCCTACAGGTAAAACCATCTAAACCAGGGGTGTCAAACTCAATTCCTGGAGGGCTGCAGCCCTGCACATTTTAGCTCCAACCCTGCTTCAACAAACTAACCTGTAGGTTTTAAACAAGTCTAAACAACTCAATTAGGCCGCATTTACACTGCACTTTTCAACGACTGACTCAATGACGATTTTTATTTATTTATTTATTCATTTTTTCTTCCATGTGGCACAGATCGGACATGGCCCGTGTACGTGTGAGCAGAAACAAATCACATGGATTCTGATTTACTCAAATCAGATTCAGGGCTTGTTCACATGTGGAAATTTCTCCGATATGAATCGGATCTGTGCCCTCGTGTCTGCAGTGTAAGCAGGTAGATCGGATTTTCACCTGTCAATGCAAGTGGCGCGTCATCAAAAACCGTAGCGAATGACATCAAGTCTGACACTTTATTTTCAGAACAGACTTCAGCACAGTCCCAAACCTTAAGTCTCATACACGAGGACTTAAAGGCTTTCATATTGTCATATAGCACAGGTATTTAAGCATGTTAACGAGAGCGAGAGAGCGCAATGTCCGCCACGTAACCAATTTAAACTAATATAAAACTAGTGCATACATCACGTGCATAAATCACACCATGGACATCACATTAAGATGTCTAAAGGTTTAAAAAAGCTTATATATCAAAAGAAGATGGACAAATGAGAACCTTTCTGTCATAAACTACAGTAAAACAGCTTGCCAAAAGCTGCGGACAGATTACTTGCAGGAATAGAGAAAATAGCGCTCTTTAATTATCAGCTGTTAGTCAGCGCCCGCTCTTTTTTTTTTTTCCTGGTCATTGTGCCTTTGCCATGTGCTGTGTAAATGCAGACAATCGGATACGAGTCACTTTTAAAGGATGATATAAGCAGGTCTGCAAAAAAATCTGATAGTCACAAAAATTGACCATCAAAATCTGCAGTGTAAATGCAGCGTAGGTTTGGTCAGGTGTGTTTAATTAGAGTTGGAAATAAACTGCAGAACTGCGGCCCCTTTGAGCTAAACTTCTGAGTTCTGTTGTTAAATTAATCAAGGTTTTATTTACTGAAATTCGTATTTGCTTTCATTTCTAGACGCTCTGCGAACAGCTAAGACAGGAAAACAGCGAGCTTAGGAAAAAGATGGAGGATGACCTTCAGTATCGTAACCGTGATCTGGAACAGCTGAGGTAATTCAGTTCACTTTTGTTTTATTATAATCAAATCACTGGTGGTGGATGAGAAGATTCCCCCCAAAAATGTATAAAAGCGTTTGGGTGTCCATAAAAGAACGTTATAAATGTAAGGAATTTATTTATTATTATTATTATTGTTATTATTATTATTATTATCAGGGCTTGACATTAACTTTTTTGATAATCAGCCACTGTGACAAAGGTTTGTTGTTGGGAAAATATATTTTCTTTGCATAAATGTGACTTTGACATGCTAAAAGTACTTGATTTAGATTTTGTTTTGTCCACAAGCCTGCTCATTTATTTCACTTTTTGTTTGTCGTGTGTGAGCTTGCTCAATGAGCATGAGCAAGTGGGCCATGGTTTCATAGTATTACAGTTAGTTTTTGTTTCACATGAATTTTCAGAGCTCAAAATGAAGGATTTACCAAATTTATCTCTGATCACACCAAACATAAATAAATAATTATTGCTCAGCCACAAAATTTAAAAGTGTAAAAACAAGCAAAATATAGCTGTATACTTTTTATTTAACAAAACATATCTTTAAAAAACAGCTAAGAAACAATTTAAAACATTTAAAAAATAATTATTGTCATTTATCTAAAACTATGCACAGTAATCTGTCCTGGCTAAAGGTCTAGATCACCAGTTAGCTACACATAAATGGGGAGCTAATCTCCCATTAAAGCAATGTTATTGTAAAAAATGATAATTAAACCATAATAACAAAAATAACTGTAAGCAAAAGAAAGCAGGTGAAAAACACTGTGTGTGTTAATGAAAGGATGATCTTGTGCACACCGTTAATGTTAGGCCTATTACTAATCTGTTCAAATAATAGTTAAAGTGAAAGCAACCGGTTCTGTTTACAAAAAGTAAAATCTGGAACTCTTGAAAGCAGCAGGACTGTGGCTGCATGAGAATACCTTTTTGTCTAGTTTATTTGCACGCGTGAATGCATTTGCACATATATTGGGGCATCCTTATTGTCGAACCCTGCTTTTATGAAAACTACAATTTAAAAATTATTTATTATAATTATTTATAAATGATAAAAGTGGCCAGTCATGAGTAATATTTGCATTTATGAATATTAATTTTGACCCTTAAAATAATAAAACATGAATTTAAAAAATGAATTTTAATTTTCATGGATGAACTATCCTTTAACAATAAAAACTACATATCAAACACCAGATGATTAGTAGACTGTCTACTTAACAACACATCGTTTTGTAACTGTGTAAGCACATCAACGTATTCTACATACTCTAATCTAACAATGTGATAACAATTTACTCTAATATGAGGTTGTTGACATATTGTTGTGAAGTCATATATACAGTTAGGTCTGTAAATATTTGGACGTCTAAACAATTCTAACATTTTTGGCCCTATACACCAACACAATTGATTTGAAACAGACAACATGTGCTTTAACTGCAGACTTGTGTTGGTGTGTAGAGCCAAGAATAGAGCCAGAATTGTGTCGATGTCCAAAATATTCATGGACCTAACTGTGTGTCTAAATTGAAATGTTTTGAATAATTATCAGTGAGTGAATTTAAAGATCTTATTTGACGTATTATCAGCGTTTTATTGTTATTTTTATGCATGTATAATGCCTGTTTATTTAAAAAAATTTAATTTAAGATAATATATTATTAATGTATTGAATATATATTATAAATATCACTATTAATATAGCCTGTGCTGCTTAAATGGCATTAAAACAAGTTTGTATACATGCATACATATAGTCAAGGCTGAAATTATTCATATCCCTTTATAAATGTAAATCCTACAGGGAAAAAGTCAATGTTTTATAGGCTTTAAAATGAAGTTACAGTCAAGTCTGAAATTATTCATACCCCTGGCAAATTCTGACTTAAAGATTTTGTTCAAATATGTGTATGTATAAAAGCTGAGAAATATACAGTATATGTTATATATTGTTATATAAATATACAGTCTTATTATCTTAAGGGTGAAATCGGCATAATTTCTGGTCAATAACAAACTTGCTGGTTGAATAAAAGTAACCAAGTCAGACTTTAGCAGCGATATTAATCATTTCAGGGCTTGACTTTACATACATGAAGTCTAAATTGCTCCATCAATATAAACTGTAACCAAAGACTCTCTTAATGAATGATGCTGTGATGATCAGCATTTCTTGCAGTTCTGGAGGGGTCTTTCCTATGTGTCAGACAGAGAATCCTCGGTTTTGATTTTGCTTCTGTGTGCTGTGAACAGACAGGAGAACCTGAAACTGAAGGAGCAGGTCAGCGGGGCGTCCCACACTGCACATGTTGAGCAACTGAACCCAAAGGAGGAGCCAGTCAAAGAAGAGGTGGTCAAAACCAAGGTGGAAATGACCATGACTCAGCAGGTCTGCACTTTTATTATTTAACTGAACAATGACAGCACATTATCATTACAACAATACAAAATTACATAATTACTAATTACTATTACTACAAATACTACAGGGAGATACTAATAATTTCACAGAAGTACATTAAAGATTGCATTACACCTCGATAACCTGAGTGGCTTTGCGTTTCTTTGAGAATACTATGGACTTAATATAATATATACAGTCAAGGCTGAAATTATTGATACCACTAGCAAATTCTGACTTAAGCTTACTTTTAATCAACCAGCAAGTTTTTTTCTTTTTTTTTGACTGGAAATGACACCAGCTTCTCCCAAAAGATAATAAGTTGATGTGAAATTTTTTTTACTGCTTTTATTTACAATTGAACAAAACATTTAAGGCCCAATCCCAAATTTATTTTTGGACCCCTTCCCCTTGGCCCTTGAAACAGAGTGTGAAGGGGATGGGCTTCAAAATTTACCCCTAAGAAATGGAACAGCACTACAACACCTGCACATGTCATCATATCTCATCGAGATCTCTTGCTTCATATGAGATTGTGACTGCTTGTAGTTATTCCAGTTGCATTTTGTTTGGTATTTATCTTTAGGAACTGCTATACAGGAGTTATTATTAGGCATTATAAATAGCCATACTTAGCAGTTTTTATTTTAACGTTTTGTTTTTTTAAAGCATGATGGTAAAACACAAATGCGGTTATGAATATACTTGTTTGTTGTAAAAATTAATAATAATAATAATTAAAAAAATACTAATTTGTGCATCTCCTGACTTCCGTGTGCAGCCATGCTGCCGCTGTAGATCATGTATTCTTGGAAATTTTCTTACCCATTGGTTTCTAGTGTGGTTCTCAGTTTTAAGAGCTTTCTAGCACTTCCTCTTAGCCCCACGCCTTCAAGGTAAAGAGAATTGGGACACCCGTACCCCTTCACGTGTATGTGCAAATCGAAGGGTTGGGGTAAGGGGAAGGGCTAAGAGGTAGAATTGGGATTGGGTCTTGTGAGAAATTTCCAAACTTAATTTTTAAAGGCTACAAAACATTGACTTTGCTGTAAATTTGCTTTGATGAATTCGAAGTTTGTCCATTAAAATAATAAAGCCTAATAATAATAATAAATGGTGTGGGTTTGTTTATCTCTAGTATTCAAACATGAATCCAAAATCAAAGAAAAAGTGCCCAGGGGTAGTTTAAATAGAGGATTCATCAGAATAAACAGCAAAAATCAGTCCAAGGCATTTGAAAAATGTGGAGAAAATCTTTATTCACATGGCTAATCCTTAAAACTTAAAAACTACGCGTTTTGGCAAATAACAACCTTCATTTGGGTAATCAAGGCCTAAAAGAACCTCTTTCCACTGTAAAATAAAATTTTTGTCAATACCATCCACAAAAAAGTACATCCCCATGTCAGGCCCATGTCATATACAGTACAGATACTTAATAAATAACCCACTATAAATTAAAAGCAATAAAGTATGCTGTGTTTTTTGTTTTCACAAGCTTTGGAGACGTAACATAAATTCCGCTTTTAAATAATTGGTCACTTATAGCTTTCACCATGATGCATGGCTGTGTTCCAAATGTCATCAATGTTTTCTAAGTGCACTGCGAAGGGAGCACAATTGTAAACATGTAGATCGCGAAAACTGAATTGTAAAAATAGTTTGAAAGCAAATTACACCTAAGAGAGATGAGCTTAATGCTTTTTTATTTTTAATCATTCCAAGTTTAAATGTTAGAATGTTGTAAATGAATAGGGCATAGGGGGGATAAGTGGGAATAGAACACAGCCAGGAACTATGTTTCTAACTACAGCTCCAGAGGTGTAGTTGCAAGTGCTCAAGTTTGCGAATGTTCGTTGGAGCGATGGATTTGAGAAACGGCAAATCAACAAACTATGTTTGTAACGACGGAACTTGCGACCTTAGTTGGCTAACGATGGTTTTGGGAAATGCACCCCAGATTAGCGAGTACTGATCGAGTCATTAAATGTGATTATGGGCCGATACTGATCTCAGGCCGATCGATCGAAGCATCTGTAGTATCCAAATTAGCCCAAAGGTTTCATTTGTGGTGACTTTGCCCGATGTTAAAGACCTATACCAATAAAACACAAGTTTAAACTATATAAACAATACTCAAATGAACATTGTTTCTGTGATATATCTGCGATGACATCATCAGAATTCCTGATGTCGTTCTAAATTTGTGTCAGGTTTTTTTATTTTTATTTTCCCCTTTTGGCTAATGATGATACATTTCCTATGTAGATGCTTTTTCAGTAGGAGTTCTTAGAGAAATAAAAAACCACCAATGTAAGAACTGCTTTTCAGTTTCTAAATTGAGAGCCCTTCAACTCTGTCGCTTTTAGTTTAGTTTTGGGAATACCATCTTGGTTCTGAACACTGCTCTTCCTCAACAGTCTTTCAGTTTAAGTTCCTCATTACTGGGCTTTTTTTTCACACAGTATGACTAAATATTGAAGAACAATACACACGGTCATTGTTGCATTCTGACTCAACCTCAAGACTGCTGTCTTTTAGTATGATGGGAAAATTCTGGTTATTTGGTCTGGTTCATCTAATTGCTGTGATTGATTACGTTATCAGTATTCAATTAAAATTTTGGTGGGGATGTTTTATGACATGTAAATGGGAAACTGAGTTTCAGTTCTACTGAAAAGATGTTAGAAAAAGACTTGCCATTGTTATATATCAGTGCTTTAAGACAAATTTTTATTTAATTTTACAGATGTTATTTAAAAACAAACATGTAGGTGAAGTTTTTTTTCTCATTTTTAATATTAGCCCACAGAAAGGATGCAGATTTGCCAATTATTTTTACTAGTGTCTAAATAAGATTTAGATTAGCTAAATCTTGGTTTTAAACAGTCTTAGAACACTGATATATAACTATGGTAAGCAATAGCTTTTTTATTTATTATTAAAAAAACATACATATTTATTATTAAAAATACATTTAGGTGGAGTTTTCTTAATTGTTTTGTTTTAACTTACTGAAAAGTTTAGATTAATTAAATATTACTTTTAAAAATCAGTCTTAGAAAACTGATATATAACAATAAGTATTTCTCAATTTAATTAATTTTACAGTTATTATTAAAAAACATTTAGGTGCAGTTGTTTTGCCTTTTTCGTGTAAGTTTTTTTCTTTGTTTCAATATTAGCTTACTGAAAAGATGCAGATTTGGCTATTATTTTTGGCTAGTGTCTCGTAAAAAATTTAGATTTAGTTGAATATTAGTTTTAAAACAGTCTTAGAACACTGATACTGTATATAACAATGGTAAACATTTATCAAATAAAGTTTTTACATATATTGTTAAAAAACCAAACATTTAGGTACTGTTTTTGCCTTTTACATGTTTGTATTTTCTTTGTTTTAGTATGAGCTTACTGAAAAGACGACGATTTGCCAATTATTTTGACTTGAGATTGACTTTGTCTAGATAGAGTTTAGATTAGTTAAATATTAACTTTTTAACCCTTAAAACACTGATATATAATAATGTTAAGAATTTTTCTTTGTCTTTGTTTTTTTTTTAATATTAGCTTATTATACATCAAATTGTAAATTTATATGTAATGTTTTAGAGTAAAATGTCTTTATGCATTTATTCTTATCATGTCTTAATAAATTATGAAGTTGTTATTTTTATGCTATTTAGTTTGGATCCATATTATTCTTGCCATGAAATAGAAATAATACATTGCTGATGTGGAAATAAACAAACAAAATATTTAATATTAGCCACAAAAAAAAAAAAAAAAAAAATCTTCAAGGTGCAGCTTCTGACATGTTTTTAAATATTAGCTTATCATACATCAAATTGTAAAGTCATATCTAATGTTTTTATTTATTTATTTATTTATTTATTTATTTGTTTGTTTATTTATATAATCTCTTATTGAATTATGAAGTTGTTATTTTTATGCAATACTTGTTTTATCTATATTATTCTTGCCATGAAATAGCCATACATTGCTGATGTGGAAAAAAAACACAAAATATTTAATATTAGCCAAAAAAAATCATGTATAGAGGTTTGGGCTTAAAAAAAATCTATTAAATAAACATTTTACATTTATGATAAAACAAATGATAAAAATAAAACATTTAGTTGCAGTTTCTGACTTTTTCATGTTAGATTTTTCTTAGTTTTATTTGTTTTGTTTTAATTAATATCAGCTTATTATACATCAAATTGTAAAATCAAATCTAATGTTTTTAAATGAAGTTAATTTAATGTATTTATTATATTTTATTTATTTATTTATTCATATCATCTCTCATTGAATTATGATGTTGTTATTTTTATGCAATATATTTTTATCTATATTATTCCTGCCATAAAATAGCCATGCAACACTGATATGGAAATAAACAAACAAAATATTTAATCAGCCATCAAATATCTAATGTTTTTAAAAGTAAAATGTATTAATATTTATTTATTTATTTAATTATATAATCTCTTATTGAATTATGAAGTTGTTATTTTTATGCAATATATTTTGTATCTATGTAATTACTGCCATGCTGAAATAGCCAGACAGTGCTGACAAACAAACAAAATACTTAATATTAGCCACAAATGTAAGGTATAGAGGTTTGGGTTTTGAAAAAAAAAGTCTTTGAACAAGTGTTAATTTGCTGCAGAATTACCTGCATGTAGCTGTTAAACCATAATTGAAATGATTATTATTACTGTTTATTAAATTTACAGTCTGGCAAAGCTGTTGAGAAAACACCATCTAAGACTTGCGATCCAGAGATGTACGAGAAGAAGATCAAGCTTTTGGAAAAGCAGAGGAAAGATGTAAGAACTGTCTGGAGGTCCCCTGCTTTCTTCATGTCGGCATTACTGCTGTCAGAGTTTCCCTGTTGGTTTGAACTCTGACGTGTGAACTTTTGCTTTCTGACCTTTCTCAGGTGCTGGAGGTGAACAAACAGTGGGACATTCAGTGGAATTCTATGAAGACACAGTTTGAGCAGAAGGTATGAGACAACATGTACACCAGAAATGATCTATAAATATGTTCCATCTGGCCTTGTAACCTTTTGTGGCTCACCTTACTGCTGGTAAGAATGACATAAGAACATAAACAGGAATCACTTTACTAGTGCTGGTAATGATATATGTTAATACAGCTGAAGTCAAAATTATTATACTTCCTATGAATTTTTTTTAACATTTCCCAAATGATGTTTAACCGAGTAAGAAATTTTTCACAGTATTTCCTATAATATTTTTTTCTTCTAGAGGAAGTCTTATTTATTTTATTTTGGCTATAATAAAAGCTTTTTTTAAAAAAAAAAAACCATTTTAAGGTCAATATTATTAGCCCCCTTAAAGAAATATACTTTAAATTGTCTACAGAACAAACCACTGTTATACAATGACTTGCCTAATTAACCTAACTATAACCTAAATAACCTAGTTAAGCATTTTAATGTCGAATACTAGTATCCTGAAAAATATCTAGTCAAATATTATGTATTGTCATCATGGTGAAGATGAAAGAAATCAGTTATTAGAAATGAGTTAATAAAACTATTATGATTACAAATGAGTTGAAAAATCCTTCATCGAACAGAAACTGGGAAACATATAAACAAATTAAAATTGAACAGGAAGACCAACAATTCAGAAATGTACTCATTCATATGTGATCATATTTCTCACTCGCAATTTAGAACATCAGGGCAAATACAGAAATATGAAATAAGTATTATATAAAACATAAAGCACTTCTCAAAAGCTAATGGTTACAGGTCTAACATATAAAAATAAAAATATCACTTAATAAAATGCAACATGTAAACATTGTACTTCATACCCATATAGCCAGGGGGTTCGGCTGATTTAAAAGACCCCCCCTTCCCCATCTACGATCAGAATTTGGCCCATATATAAGCTCATTTGTCCACCTTCTGACAATATGTCATCATAAATTGTGAAAATAACCAATAGAAGAAGGCTTTAATTATTTAATTAGTGTTCAAATGGACAAATTCTCACTGAAGAAATGAGCTGGCCAGTTTGTTATTTGCATATAGGCTACAGTTTTTAATTTAACACAAGTTTTAACAGATTCCTTTTTTTAATGATTGATCATAACAAATTAGCTTTCAAAAAATAAGTATTTGTGCATATTTTTTTGTTAAACTTTATAATAAAAAAATTGCAATTTCATTAAATTATTTATAAAACTGTAAAAAGAAAAAAAAAAGTGGGGTAATGATAACTATCCAACAAGCTAATCCAAAAATTGCATTAAAATGTCGCTAAAATGCAGTATTTGAACCTCATAATTTAATCGAAATGGTCCCTTATTCAGAGAAAAAAGAAACACCCCTTTTTAATAGGCTGGCTATAGGCCTGTACTTTCAAGATTGCATCTTTCTCATGGTGCTGTTATTCATGTTTCTGTCTGCATCTCCGTAATGTTGTAATATTGCACTTGTAATAACTATAATACAATAAAAAATTGTAAAAACATACTACCATAAATTACCATTTATAAACATACTACCAAAAAATACCATTTTTATTTTATCTATACTTTATATATATACATACATATATATATATATATATATATACATATTAACACAGTTGAAGTCAGAATTATTAGCCCTCCTGTATATTATTCCCCAATTGCTGCTTAATGGAAAGAAAATTTTTTTTCAGCACATTTTTAATTATAATTATATTATAATAATTAAATAATTATAATATTATATAGTCATATTGCGCAGTCCTACACTTATGTATATGTATATATGTATATGTATATATATATGTGTATATGTATATATATATGTATATATGTATATATATATATATATATATATATATATATATATACAGTTGAAGTCAGAATTATTAGCCCTGCTGTATATTATTCCCCAATTGCTGCTTAATGGAAAGAAGATTTTTTTCAGCACATTTTTAATTATAATTATATTATAATAATTAAATAATTATAATATTATATAGTCATATTGCGCAGTCCTACACTTCACTAAGAAGCAACATTTGCTTAATGAGTCCAGCGTGGCACATGTGAATGAAGGTTAAAGATCACAGCATATGAATGGTCCCCAGTGTAAACTAAAGGCTTCTGTCAGCCCTGTTGCTGTGTCTGTGGAAATGCTGTTAGGGCACAGCAATGGAAAGCAGCAGATCAGTGTTTGTCAGAGTGTTGCACATCAGACCGCAGGCCCCTCCTGTCACACCTCTGGCAGAATTTCCCTCACCTCGGCCGTACCCGCTACCTTCCTGTTGTGGCTCGCCGTAGGGGCTGGCCGGGGTTGCAGAGCCGCGGGATCTCACAGCCTAGACATAATAATGACGCTTGCTGCATCTCTGCTCGAGCTGAAAGAGAGAGAGAGAAAAAAGAATTTAAAAAAATCACACCGGGACTGTTTCTCTACACGCATCCTTTGTCGTCATGGGGGATGCTGTTAAAACTCATGGTGGAACAAAAACAGCTCCTGTTTTGGTAGTCTTCCATATATTGATGTCAAGTATACAGTTCAGATCCTGTTTTCGTATTATTGTGCTATATTCTAATCTATATATTGATGTCAAGTGTACAGTTTTTAGCCACCCCGTATAATTGAAACTTTTCAAATTATTTCCCACATGATTTTAAACACAGATTTTTCCCCGAGCATATTTTTACGTGGTAGTAAAAGTTTTAATGACTAATTTCTTTTTTTGGTTGTTGTTATTTTTCAAGATACTAGCATTCAGCTTAAAGTGCTATTTGAATACTTTTACTAGATTTATTAAGTTAATTAGGCAAGTTAGGTCAGGTCAGGTTAGCAAGAGTGATTTGTTCTGTAGCCCATCAAAAATAAATTTCTTAGAGAGGCTAATAATATTGACCTAAAAAATGTAAAAAAGCAAAAAAACAAAACAAAAAACAAACACTTTTTATTCCAGCCAAACTAAAAGAAATAAGAGTTGTTTTTTTTAAAGAAAATGCTTTATTGGATATACTGTGGGTATCATAGAGCTTTTTTCTACTGTGCGCCTAAGCTATGGAATGGTCTACCCATCTGCATCAGGAAGGCCGCTTCTCTAGACTCACCTTTTTATCTTTGCTTTTAATTTAAGTTGATTATTTTTGTAAATTTAATCATTCAATTTTATTGTTCATATTTTATAGTCTTATTGTGGTGTTTTTACTATTTTTTTATTGTTCTGCTTTGTTACTGTTTGCCTTGTATACTTTGTAGTGCTTTGGGTTTTAGAAAAGCACACAACAAGTAAAATGTATTATTATAATAATAATAATAACTAGCATTATAATAATAATAATTATTATTATTAATATTATTACTGTGAACAAAATTCCTTACATCACTTTGTAAATAAAAATTTCACAGCAGGCCTAACAATTTTGTCTTGTATGTATGAAGGGTTCAGATGCAAAAACCTCTAAATGTCATCTAAAGGTTCTTCTAAAATGAGCGTTTCTTTCAGGCTCTTATGTCTATGTTCAGTCAATTTGATTTTGTCAAATAATACATTGTTTTCATTGCCTTCGACATGAAATAACTCAAGATAAACATAAGTAGCTCATAACTCATAAGTTGATAAGTAGATAAACATAATTCACTGTAGAAGAAAACTCTAGAATGCACTTACAGCTTTTTGCATCTGAACTCTCCATATATATATATATATATATATATATATATATATATATATATGCAGTGTTTCCTCTTGGATTTTTTCCAAATGTGATGTGGCGGTAGACCTTTTACACCAATAAACCAACTACTTATGCCGTTATTTCATTGACAAATAACGGCATACAACTTAAGATTGCATTCATGTAATAGGAGCATGCTAATCGCTAATCGCTCTGTTTGTGCACAAAACGCCCTGCATGCCCTCAAATATACGCTGCTGAAGTTCGATTTAGCATGTTTATGTGGCAAAAATGTCTCCGACATTTATTGGATTTTTTTAAGAATATTTATGAATGTCTCCAGTAGATATACAGAACAGCATTAATGCGTCCTAATGTAAAGTGACGCTGCTAAAAACTGCAGCAAGATAAAGTAATTGTTTGCAGAAGCACAGACCTTTATCTATCTAATAAAGTATAATTATGGAAACTGTGTTCATCTTAAGTGATGACACACACACACACACACATACACACACACACACACACACACACGCACACACATATATATATATAGAGAGAAAGAGAGTTTAGATGCAAAAAATTTGTAAAACTTTAACTTGTAACTATAGGAATAATCAAGATAAACATAAAAAATGTATATACCATTTTATTTTAAATGTATTTTTCTTCTATTTTTAAGGATGTTCAGTGACCAAACTCTTATTTTAATAAAAAAAAAAAACAGTTTTGTTTAAATGCAACAAAACACATTGTCTATATTCACTTATAAATGTATAAAATTGCTCATTTCCATACTCATTTATGCTGAGCACAACATGTTAGAACGTGTTATAATCTGTTATGCAAATGTGAAAAGAAGATGCATTTTCAAAGAGAAAGTTTTGTCAATGCATAAAATTTCCTTGCTGCTAAAATAAAAGATATATGCCGGGTCAGTGCACAGGTTAGTGGCAGGAGTGGTAAAAACCTTAGTTTATCTAAAAGTAATGACTTTTCTGTCTTTCTAGATCACAGACTTACGGCAGCGGCTGGCAGACTCCCAGAAGACTGTGCTGGAGCTGGAAGCAGAGCGTGAACAGAGACAGAGAGACTACGACAAAAAACTCCTCCTTGCCAAGTCTAAGATCGACAATGTGCAGGTACTGATCTCCAGACAGAAACCCATAATCAGTGCTTTTAGGTAGAGAGAAATTAATTCTGATTGTAAAGTTCTGTCCTTTTTCTCTATCTTATAATAACCTACCTCTGTGATTATGGCTATATTAATACGGATAATTAAAAAAAGGGTGTTTTCATCTAAAAATGCTGCATGTCCACATTATCTTTTTTTAATTCTTTCAATCATCCACACTAAAATGGCTGAAAATGCTTTCGTTTACATACTGCGCATGTGCACAAATGTAAGATGATTTTTCCTGTGTCATATCAGTCTGCCGTTTATTTACTTTCCATCTCTTTGAAACATTGCGACAAAAAAAAAAAAACAGTCTGACAGAAAAAACCTTTGAAGAGAGGCAATATGAAACATGTACAAACTGACGTTAACCTTTAATAAAGCTGTCGAAATGGACAGAATGCAAAACATCTGCTTTACAGTGTCGTCCTCCATGTTTGCTGAATTGGTCACATGACTGCATCAAAAAGGTGGCATCGTAGTTGAAAGCCTCCGTTTTCACAGTCCACACTGGAACATGAAAACACAGTTTAAAATGTATCCACTTTAGACAGCATTTTCCAAAAATTAAGTTTGCGTTTCCAAAAAGTGACATCTCAGTGTGGACAGAAGGCCAGAACGGAGACAAAAATAATTCTTAAACGAAAACGTATTAGTGTAGACCAGTGGTTCTCAAACTTTTTTCTATCAAGTACCACCTTAGAAAAACATTGTCTTTCCAAGTACCACCAAAATGAGCAGCATTGAAATACAGTAGCGTAGTTGGACCAGTAAAGCAGCTACAACTCTGTTAAAAAAACCTGTCAGATTACCTCAGAAATATAGCCTATATATAATATATGGCATATTATATACATCATTTTTAATAAATTTAGAATTATATGTAGCATGTACATGACATATATTTTTATTCCTCCGTGTACCACTAGAAGGAAGCCCACGTACCACTAGTGGTACACGTACCACAGTTTGAGAACCACTGGTGTAGACAAAGTTTCTGCTGCTCTGTTCTATTGAGCACTGCGGCCTCTATCATCTGTAAGTGTAAGATTTTTGGAACCACCAGGACTCTTCCTATCTAAGTTGAGTGATTGGTGGAGAAGGGCCTTAGTCAGGGAGGTTATCAATAACACGATGGTCACTGTGTCTGAGCTCCAGCGTTCTTCTGTGGAGAGAGGAGAACCTTACAGAAGGACAACCATCTGTGCAGCAATCCACCAATCAGGCCTGTATGGTAGAGTAGCCAGATGGAAGACACTCCCCGCCTGGACTTTGCCAAAAGGCATCTGAAGGACTCTCAGACCATAAGAAACTAAACTCTCTGGTCTGATGAGACTAAAATTTAACTCTTTGGAGTGAATGCCAGGCGTTACATTTAGAGAAAACCAGGCAGCGCTCATTACCAAGCTAATACCATGCTGCCACCACCATGCTGTGGGGATGTTTTTCAGCAGCAGGAACTAGAAGACTAGTCAGGATACAGGGAAAGATGAATGCAGCAATGTACTGAGACATCCTGAATGAAAACCTGCTTCAGAGTGCTCTTGACCTCAAACTGGGGTGACAATTAATCTTCCAGCAGGACAATAACCCAAAGCACACCGCCAAAATATCAATGGAGTGGCTTCACAACAACTCGGTGAATGCCCTTCAGTGGCCAAACCAGAGCCCAGACCTGAATTCTATTGAACATCTCTGGAGAGATCTGAAAAAGGCTGTACACCGTCGCTTCCCATCCAACCTGATAGAGCTTGAGAGGAACTGCAAAGAGGAATGGGCAAAAATTCCCAAAGACAGGTGTGCCAAGCTTGTGGCATCATATTCAAAAAGACTTGAGGATGTAATCGCTGCCAAAGGTGCATCAACAAAGTAATGAGCAAAGGCTGTCAATACTGATGCACATGTGATTTTTCAGCTTTTTTATTTTTAAAAAATTTGCAACAATTTCAAAAACTCTTTCTTTACATTGTCATTATGGGGGATTGTGTGTAGAATGTTCAGGAAATAAATTAATCCCTTTTGGAATAAGGCTGTAACATAAAATAATGTGAAAAAAATGAAGCACTATGAATAAATTCCAGATGCACTGTACAATAGTGTTTTCAATCTGAAAATCATTCATGAGAAAATCCAAATCTTCTCAGAATTTGTTAAAGTTGAGTAAATCACTGCTTCCCTATTGATTCTAATTACTATAGTAAGCATTTAGTGAGAAAGTAGTGTCACAAGGACACTTTAAATAGTGTTACCCTTTCAGTTTTTCATTTGGGAATCACCAGACACTCCTCCAAATGACCGTATGACATTCTTAGTCTACAGTAAGAGTTTCCCTTTATTTCCCTGAGGGGACAGTCAAATATGTCTCAGATGAACTGCTTTTTGGTTTAATAGACTGTCACGTTACGGCTGGTTTCATTTTCACATCAACGGCCTACTTATCATGCTCTTTAGGTTATTTATGAGTTAATGACAGCATTACACAGGTTTTGTCAGCATGAATCGCCCCTGTGGCAGACCACAGATTTTCCATCGCGGACTCAAAACCACAGGCCGAAATGTAGTGTCCGATTCTAATGTCACGTACAGTAGATAAAATGCATCTGATTGATATCAAACTTGTATTGAACTTTTCAAAGGTCAGCATGAGTTTTGTGTGGGAAGGCTGTCATGTGGCAGCTGCTTTGACGGATTGTGTGTGCTTTTCCCCAGTGCATACTATACATATTTTACCATGTTATTTATTTATCATGTGATGATTTCCTTTTAGTTAAATATGCTTAAGATAGTTACAGATAAATTACAGAGAAATCACTGAGCGCTCACTTGTAACGATAGAGGTGGTGAAAGTTCATATCACAGTTGTTTTGCCAAGTTGGTTGTAGAAGTTTCTCTATATATACGTTGATTTATTTCCTTATTTTAAAAACAAACCTTTTTAAGGTAACAACATAAAATAAAGAATATTTCAGTGAAAGTATGTGAAAATAAAAAAAATATTTAGCCTTTTTTTTAATTAACAAAAAACAAAACAAAGATTCATCTTACAAATGCATAATATACTAATAAAATAAGCTGGTGGTTCATTTTACAGGTAATAATAAATCAAAAATAAAAAAATTTTGTTGTTTATTAACGATGTCACAGTGGTGCAGTGGGTAGCACGATCGCTTCACAGCAAGAAGGTCACTGGTTTGAGCCCCGACTGGGTCAGTTGGCATTTCTGTGTGGAGTTTGCATTTTCTCACTGTTTCCCAGCGATGGGCTGCAGCTGGGAGGCCATCCGCTGTGTAAAACATATGCTGGACAAATTGGGGGTTCTTTTGGCCAGCGGAGAAATTAAAATGGTCGTGCCCAACTGAGTCTGGTTCTCTCAAGGTTTTTTTTCTTCACTCCCATCAGGTGAAGTTTTTTTTCCCTCTCCGCTGTCGCCACTGCCTCGCATGGTTCAGGATTGGTAGAGCAACGCATCGATGAATTGGCTCTTCAGTGTTTGAACTCTCAGTAATGATTAAATCACACTGAACTGAGCTAAACTGAACTGAACTTAAACACTAAAAACTGAACTACACTGTTCCAGTTACTATGACCATTTATGTGAAGCTGCTTTGACACAATCTACATTGTAAAAGCGCTATACAAATAAAGCTGAATTGAATTGAATACCACTGTGGTGACCCCAGATTAATAAAGGAACTAAGAAAGTTAATGAATGTATAAATTAATAAATACAATTAATTCATGTTACATCTACATATTTGTGCCCAAACACTCTTGAAATGCTCAGTCAAAGGCCTTAAAAACACATGAAACTGATCAACTTTCACTCTTATGGATAAACCTAGCAGTGACTCTATAAATCAGATGTGTTCTCTAGCTCCTGGTCAGTTATAATCCAGACCAGAGGTGGGACCAAGTCATTGTTTGGCAAGTCACAAGTAAGTCTCAATTCATTGCCCTCAAGTCCCGAGTCAAGTCCCGAGTCAAGAAGGGCAAGTCCCGAGTCAAGTCCCAAGTCAAAGGCAACAAGTCTCAAGTCAAGTCCAAAGTCCTATAGTTTGATTTTCGAGTCTTTTCGAGTCTTTTTAACAGAAAAATGAACTGTAAACAGATTATGTATGGTTGTAAGATCTGTATTTATTAAACAAACCTTTTTTTATGAAAGAACATTGCTCAGATATATAAAAACACAAATGTAATTTTCTGAAAAAGTGCTAAACAGTGCTGCATCTTGTCTACACAGCACATTGCACAAGAACGAGTTCCACTACAATAGAGTCCATTTTGCCTCACATCACACAGAAATTGCAGGTCTACTGCTGTCTAGTTCATTAAGTTTAATTGTGCTATGTTATGTCTTCTGTGATCAACTTGTGATTAACTAAAACTACATAAACGACCTCAATGAGGCAGCAGTAGACCAACAACTCCTGTATGCTGCAAAGTAAAATTGAGTGAACTTGGTATTTTGTCAATTGAATCTCGTGTGTGCTGAAGAGATGAAGATGCAAATCTGTCTAGCAGCAATGTAAAATTGTGGCACATATTCTCAATGAAGTAGGCTACTTTATACAAAAATTAACGTTGTTTTCTTCACATAACAATGAAGAACTTTGCTCTCTACCTTGTGTAACGCTCGTGCACCGATTTCCTCTGTGGACAAAACTGCTTGCGAGCTCTGAAATATACGCTGCTCACGCGCAAATTTTCTCGCTCTCAAATATGCACTGCTAATGCACACATTTTCCTGCGCGCTCTCAGAGATTATATACAGAATTTGAGTCTTGTGTTTCCTCTTCCTTTCGTGCTTTTTGATATGATTTATATTGAGGCACTATTTATTAACAATAAGCAAAATACTAAAATAGACTTACATATAAAATTTTTAATCTAATAAACCATAACATTTTGGCTGTATGTTTTATGATGAGATATTTCCAGTTACAAACACTTAAAGACACAGATAATAGATGTTGGATGTAAAGAATGCATTTTGTTTTACAAACATTTATTAATCACCCGAAAGGTGTACCATACTAATCAAATAAAAAAACATTTAAACAAAAATATTACTAACGCAAGCAGAAATGTAACTGTGATAAAAATAAGGAAACCATTATCAACATTGATAAACCATATCAACATTCTGGAATAATCAATTTACCAGGAGGATCTCTGGAGAGCAAAAGCAGGAAAGGTTTGAGGCGCCAGTGTGGACAAAAGTCAAGCAAACGCAGTGAGACTGAATACGTGCACGAGAGACCAGCCAATCAGATTGAAGTACCTGCCCACTGGTGAAAGTAATGTCAGAGCCAATCAGATTTTTCTTTCTTTTCATAAAGAACGGGGTTCAAATCCTACTTAGGCACTTGTAAACTATCATTTTAGACCATTTTGTCAAAAATCCCTACTGAAAAAAACAGCTTGATCCAGCCTAGGCTGGTTTTAGCTGGTCGACCAGGCTGGTTTTAGAGGGGTTTTGGCCATTTCCAGGCTGGTTTCCAGCCATTTTTTAGCCTAGTCTTAGCTGGTCAGGCTGGGAGATGACCAGCTAAAACCAGCTTGACCAGCCTAGCCAGGCTGGGAGCCCAGCCAAAACCAGCTATGTCCAGCTTAAACCAGGCTGGTCAAGCTGGTTTTAGCTGGATTTTGCTGGTCAGTTTCCAGCCTGATCAGCTAAGACCAGGCTGGAAATGGCTGGAAACCAGCCTAGAACTGACCAAAACCCCTCTAAAACTACCTGGTCGACCAGCTAAAGCCAGCTTACCAGCCTAGACTGGTTTAAGCTGGATTTTTCTGCAGGGATATTGTAATGTTTAACAATTTATTAGAGCCACAAATTATCTAAAACTTGTTTTCATGTTTGAATAGGCAATAAATGTGCTAAATAAATTAAAATAGAAATACCCACAGTGAAACAGTTATATAAATTTAAATATTAGTTTAAATACATTCATAGTGGTTTTAAATATCTTTTAATATGTAAAGTAGAGTTCAAATTCAACAAACTGAATAAAACAAGTCTTAATTTTTAGTTTATTTAAAAACAATTACAAATGGAGTAATTCAACTCACAATTGAATGATCTCATTGAGTGATGGAATAATAAAGGTAAAACTTTAATTGAATGATCAGTCAAGTGTTTTCCAATGAAATCTGTTAAAATAAGAGTCCTACAAAACAGGAACAAAGACACTCATGAAACGAAATGTGATTGTCAATTGTATTTTTTATTAGATGGTTGGTTTTAAGTACCTTAAAAATAGTAGATAAGCCTTAAATATAGAGGGGGAAATACAGAAAAACAAACAAACAGAAATTCAACAATATAGATGCATTACATTACAATCTCACAATAAAAATTTAATTAAAAACCATGTAGAGGACTAAAATATTGCTAAGAGGCATAACATCAACAATAATACAAATACTTTTAAGGTTTTAAATACTAAATAAAATTAATAGTATCAATCCAAAATATAAAAAGGTAACACTTTACAATAAGGTTGTATTAATTAATTAAGTTTATCTATGTACTAATGTGAACAAACAATGCAGTGAAGTACAGTTACAAATCATTACAGTATTCATTAATTAATGGAAATAAAATTATTGGTTAACCTTTGTTAAATCACAGTGCATTAACATTAATGTTAACAAGCATACCTTTAAATTGTAATAATGCAATAGTAAATGTTAAACTATAATTAATAAAGGTTTAAAAGTATAGTTCATCATTAGTTCATGTTAGTACATAGATTAACTAAAAAAACCTTATTGCAAAATGTTACCAAAAAATAACAAAATACTTTTTTCACAGTTTTAAGAGCTTTAAAAATAAATTATATATATCTAGTTATTATGGCATGTAATTATTATTACTACTAATTAAATAGTTAGAAAATGCTGTCAGAGGATGGGCAAAACACAAAAATAAAACATAATCTGCGCATTGACACAAACGACCAAGTGCAAAAACATAAATTACAGCCATGTTCATTCATAATTATGTGAAATAAATGAGGAGAGGGTAAGTTTGGTTAAAAAACTGAAGTTCATTGACTTATACACAACAGTTAAACAATGCTTTTGCACAACAGTAACACATTGCGAGTAGTAAAGTCTCTTACCTTTGACAGATGTTGTAAATCCGCTGAATAAAACAAAAGGAGCAGATCGCGGATGTGTTTATTTCACTCTCCGAGTCAGAATGAAAATGGCATCTTCAAATTTCCCGCTGGTGCAAAAACACGGAAGTGCGCCACAAAGCGCTAGTGGTCGAAAGTATGCGCGCATGCTTTCTGTCACACACACACACACACAGAGATAGAGCGCTCCGTGTCAACATACTTTTTATCTTTGGGCTTTTTATAGAAAGTAGCAAGTCTTTACAAGTCAATAGGCGCAAGTCCAAGTGAAAGTCCGAGTCATTTATGTTCAAGTCCAAGTCGAGTTGCAAGTCTTTTCATATTTTGTCAAGTCGAGTCTGAAGTCATCAAATTCATGACTCGAGTCTGACTCGAGTCCAAGTCACATGACTCGAGTCCACACCTCTGATCCAGACTCAACATCTCATATCCTGCGATGTGACTATTGCAGATGTGCACATTTTGATATCGATGCTGAAGCAATATTTTTGTGCAACCCTGTTTTGTATTTACATCCAACTGTTTTTATTTTGTACTTTTGCGATATTCTTATCCTTGAATGTAAACATAGCTTATGACATTACAGTAACAGTTGTTGTTTCTCGATTTTAACTAGTAGATATTTGGTAACACTTTATAATAACTACACACTATGAATCATTTACTAAGCATTAGCATCTAGTGAATTCATTATTTGTTAAACATTAACTCTACATTAATAAACGTTAGTAAACAGTTTATAACTGCAGCTACAAATGCTCTATTCTTGACTTATAAGCACCTATGTCATGTGTCTAATAATTGTATTTTTATACTTAGTTAATGATTTATTTTTCATTACTAAATTAAGTATCGCATTATTTACAAACCATTTGTATTTAAGAGTAGTTGAGGGTTTTTAGGATCATTCAGAATGAGTTAGTAAATGATTAATAAACTATTGAAATCAACATTTATATATCTTATTATTCAGGCATTTACTAATAGTTAACTAATATGTTAATAAATGACTTCATGCAGTTTTGTGACCTAATCTAAGGACTGTTTATACTTTATAAATGACAAATAAAGGCTCAGAATCAAATGAACAATAATCTTTGCAATCTTTTCTAAAAACTAAAATTACTCTAGAATTACTGTAAAGTTTAAACATTGCCAAATAACAGGAATGTCAAAATATGACATACAACTAAATGAAACAACAACAATATAATAATTTAACAATGTAATAAGATGAAATGTTTAAACTCTACAGTTATTTTATTTTAGATCAGGTTGCAAAGATTTATTTTTCATTTGAAGTACAGTTTCATTTGTGTATCTTTAAATGAATAGGAATGAATAATGTCATTTTTCCCTGATAAGGATTTACTGAGCCTTTATTTGTCAGGGGGATTTATAAAAGCATAACTAGTTTATAAAGCATACCTAGTCCTCACTTTTTAGGTTACAAAACTAGATGAAGTTGAGTTAATAAAGCATTTATTAACATATTAGTTGACGATTAATATATGCCTGAATAATAAGATATATAAACGTTGATTTCAATAGTTTATTAATCATTTACAAACTCATTCTGAATGATCCTAAAAACCTTCAACTACTCTTAAATACAACTGGTTTGTAAATAATGCGATACTTAATTTAGTAATGAAAAATAAATCATTTACTAAGTATGAAAATACAATTATTAAGCACATTTTAAATGTGGTTATAAGTCAAGAATAGAGCATTTGTAGCTGCAGTTATAAACTGCTTACTAACGTTTATTAATGTAGAGTTAATGCTTAACAGGTAATGAATTCACTATTTGCTAATGCTTAATAAATGATTTATAGTGTGTAGTTATTATAAAGTGTTACCATGGTGGGGTATATAATGTAATACTTAATTTAGTAATGAAAAATAATTCATTAGCAAAGTATGAAAGTACAATTATTAAGCAGATTATAAATATGTTTGTAAGTCAAGAATAGAGCATTTGTAGCTGCAGTTATAAACTGCTTACTAACGCTTATTAATGTAGAGTTAATGCTTAACAGGTAATGAATTCACTATTTGCTAATGCTTAATAAATTATTTATAGTGTGTAGTTATTATAAAGTGTTACCAGATATTTTTATCAGGACAAAAATGTTAATATTTTTTGTTGTTGTTACTATTTTTTCCTCAAAAGTACATGTAAATCTCTCATAAAGACTATTTTAAAATAAATTATTTTTGATCTTAACAAATGTATCTTTGTTGAAGTTCATTTGTATCAGCTTTGTTTGCTTTTAGTGCATTGTTTCATTTTGCAACAAACATAAATACTACTATTTTTGTTCACACTTTACTTATTGGCACAGTGCTTTCTATTTACAAATGATTAAGTGTGACTTTGCCTCAATGTGCTCCTAATTTTCTGCTTATCAGTAGTTATTAAGGTACTAGTGAGATTTAGGTATTGGTTAAGAATGTAGAATGAGATCATGCAGAATATATGCTTTATAAATACTAATAAGCAGTCAATATATTAATAATAGCCCTGAAATAAACCACTAGTCAATAGTAAGAATTAGTACACAAACTAAAGTCTTAACATTTTTTTCCTAGTGTCTGTGAATATATGTCCCTGACGTCCCTTATTTCAGGTGACTTGATTTTTGCTCACCATTATATTTGCGTGTGTGTTTTCATAGGGGGAGAAGGAGTGCCTCACCTCAGAGACGTGTGAGCTAAAACAAAAAGTGCGTTACCTGCAGGACCAGTTGCTGCCACTTACTAAACAAAGAGAATATCAGGAGAAGGAGATCCAGCGGCTCAACAGGGTCAGTCACAGAGCACACATGCATGAATGCAATATTACTATGGACTAGGCATGGTGTGGTTTAACTTTCTGACGGTATGATCACCTTGGATAAAAATATCGCAGTTTCACAGTATTGTTATTACTCCTCCAAAACATGTGCTTTTTAAATGTCTGGGTAAAACAAACAACAACAAATGTGAATAATTCTGACTTCAACTGTGTCACATGAGAAGCACTTCTCACAAAACAGATGCTGTAATGTATACACATAGATGCTTAGGTTAGTAATTATTATATATACATATCTATGAACAGGAATTGATTATAGCTGCGAATCAGTGATAATCATACCTGCCAACATTTGTCTCGGAAAATCCGATAATTGTGAATAACACAGATGAGAACCGGGTTTTTTTGTAGTACAGTTAGCGGTGGAGCCAGAAAGGCAATTGCAGATTAGGAAGTGAAGTGGAGACTACATAGTTGAGTTTTTAGTCGTTTCTTGAAAATAGCGAGTGACTCTGCTGTTCTGATGCAGTTAGGGAGTTCATTCCACCAACTGGGCAGATTGAGCACGAGATTTAGGAAAGAGATTTCTTCCCTCTTTGGGATGGAACCATGAGGCGACGTTCATTCACAGAACGCTAGTTTCTGGAGGGCACATAAATCTGCAGAAGTGAGAGCAGATAAGGAGCAAAGCCAGAAGTCGCTTTGTAAGCAAACATCAGAGTTTTGAATTTGATGCGAGCAGCAACTGGCAGCCAGTGCAAACGGATGAGTAGCAGAATGAGAGAGTAGCATGTGCTCTTTTAGGTTCATTAAAGACCACTCGTGCTGCTGTGTTCTTTATATCTTTTTTATATCTTTATTTCTTGCTTTTTTAAAAGCAATTACATCTTTATTATTCACAAACAAATGTAGCCTTTTGTTAAAAAAGTAATTCTGAGTTCGTAATAGCCCAAAAGCGATAATAACTGTTAAAGATTGCTGTTTAATTATGTTTTGGGTTGCTGAAAGAATCATTTGCCGCCATACCACTCAGTGATAACAGGCCATTATTTTCTTGTTGTAAGGAACTCTTCTCATTCTTATATGCTGGCTTGGTGCACAAGAGGTATTTCTTAGATTATCAATTACTGTGTTGAAAGGTGCATATGTTCTGATTGTGCTATTTTTTAATAGGCATTAGAGGAAGCTTTGAACCTGCACTCTCCTTCATCCACACAGCCAGGAATGAATCTGGGAGAAGGTGTTGCCAACCTGAGACAGCAGGAGCTGCACACACAGATTGCTGTACTGAAGGAGCAGGTATAAAACACATGGAGACTTCCTATCAATGTACAGCCATGTAAACAGAATATTAAGGCATCCTATGAAACCTTTTTTTTTCGGCTTAGTCCTTTATTTATCTGGGGTTGTCACAGCAGAATGAACCCAGGGTGTCCCCAGGGTCTTAAATGTCCTAAATACATCTTAAAAAGTCTTAAATTCACTGAAATATTGTATTGTAGGGCTTAAATCATCTTAAACAGGTTGTAATTTTTCCTATTTCCATGTAAAGTTGCCCATTCACTAACAGTCTAATGAACAGCCTTTCAAGTAATGTGTTACCAAAAATAGCAAAGAAAATAAAAACAAATTAAAAACCAATAAATACCTGCTGTGCATTAACACAAGTATCCAAAAAGACACACATACACATTAAAAACTATACAATGAAAATAAATAAATAAATAAATAAAGATTACAAAACATATCCACCATATTCACCTACATTTCTTGTATTATCTCATCAAGTTTATCTACATTATTATTATTAAAAAACATTAAAAGGGCACTAGGCATCTCCAGAAAATTTTATATAATAAAAAAAATAATAATAATATTAAGCACTCATTTTTAAGCTACTTCCTGAGAAAAACTACTCGATTACAGTCATTTGAGTGTGTATAATTCATTACTTTAGCATACATAACTCTATCCCAAATGCTTTAGGGGCCATAAACACTGTGGTCAGATGTACTCTAATAGTGAATGAGCTCTTCAGGACATTCAAGTCTTTTCATTTGATCAGAGGATCTAGAGTTGTCGAGGTTTTACTTACTGAATTGATCCTTTAGTCGTCTCACCTCATTTATCAAAGCTGCTTCTTAAGAACTGAGTGTTGATTTTCACTGTGAGTCATAAAGAGCTCAGTTTGCTGAACTACAGCAGCGTCTGCAGAGATCCACCAGGGTTGTTTTAGTACATTAAGACTACAACTATTGGTCAAAGACATTTTTAGGTTGAGTTGAGGTATGCTTTATTGTCCTTTGCAGGAAATTTGTCTTACTCAGTCCACATGTAGTAATAATAATAATAATAATAATTAAACGTGTAACAATCACCAACAACAAGGACATTTAAAAATACAATCAAGATGTGTTTTTGTTGACTGAAATAAAATATATATTCAAAATATATGAAAAACTATAATAGTCACTGAATAGGTAACTGAAATCAGATCTCATTTGGTTGTGGAAAGACTTTTTCTACACTAAGGAAAACGTTTCTACTAAGAAATGTTCACTGAAAGGTTCTTTGATAAACCACAAATAGTTCTTCTACGGCCTCATCACTACAAAATCCTTTATTTTAAAGGGATATTTCTCCCAAAAATGACCGTCATCCACTTATTCCAAAAATGTCAAAGTTTCTTCTGTCAAACACAAAAGAACATATTTTGACATATGTTTTACCATGTACTATTGACTTTTGATAGTATGTGTTTTTCCCACTATAGAAGTCAATGGTTACCAGTTACTAAACTAAAGATTTGTTTACTAAATCTAAACAAAACAAACATAATAATTTGCAAAAATAAATAATTGTTTCCAGAATTAATAAACACTCATTCTGTCAAATCTGACTTGTATCTGTTTACAGCAGAGAAACCCAAACTAGGGCCATCAGGCCAAATATGATTTTAAATGATGTTTTCTATTTATTTTTAAATATTATGAAATAAACTTTGATATTACCCATGGCAACTTTAATGTAATATAGTTTGGTTTATTTACCTTCGACCCACGGCCCTTGATGATATTTGGTTTTTGGCCCTTCATATGAAAAGCTTTTACACACAAACACATCAGTCAAGAGCAAGATCATATATAAAAAATATTTACTAGATAAACATGAAACGTTTGTTCTAAATACTTTATAAAAATTATAAAAATGCTTTTTTGAATAACAAAAAAAAAATTCACTGAAAGGTTTTTTGAGGAACCAAAAATGGTTCTTCTATGGCTTTTATCACTGCAAAAGAAGATACTTTGAGAAATGTTTAACCATGAACATTTGCAAATAATAATATTAAATAATTCATTCTCTTTGCACCTTGGTCCCTTTATTAATCTGTGGTCACCAAAGCAGAATGAACCGCCAACTTATCCAGCCTATCTTTTCCAGCCTTTGACGGCCTTCCAGCTGCAACCCATCACTGGGAGACATCCACACACACTCATTCACACAAATACGCACATAAACGCTGCTCAACAGCATTCAAATGTTAGCAGGAAATGGACGTTTTTAAGATTTCTAGAGTCGTCCACCATAATTTTGTAACTCAAAAGAATCGGCACTGGTATCGTTTTAAAAGTATCGATTTAGCACCCGTATCGAAATAATCCCAAACGATACCCAACGCTCAACGTTGTCTGTTAACTGCTATACCACAGTTACTAAAACTGAAACTAAATATAGAGAAACCATATAGAAGTGTGTTCACAAAATAAAAATAATACATCAACAATGAAGCAAACTAAAACTGAACTGAAATGTGCAGCAAATGAAGAATAGTACTGAAATGGCAGCCATTTTCTAAATGCTAAACAGTAATAACCTTGGTGATCACACCTGTGCTTTTCTCAGGTGAAGATCTTCGAGGAGGACTTCAGGAAGGAAAGGAGCGATCGAGAGCGTATGAATGAAGAGAAAGAAGACCTGAGGCGGCAGGTGGAGCGGCTTCAGGGTCAAATGACCAATCTGACCAATCAGGTCAGCACACTTCAATTCTGTTCATCTTTATTACTGCAGTGCTGATATGAAGGTTGTGTTAAAGCAGCTTAACATAGATGAAGTTAAGTGCCTTATGATAAAATGAGTTCAGAAGAAAGTTCATCATGAGACCTGAAAGAGTACTGAATTCAGTGAGTGTGTGTGTGTGTGTGTTACTCAGCTTCATCAAGCACAGAATGAGTGTCAGCGTGAGCGAGCCGAGAGGTGTAAACTGGAGAGACTGCAGATGCAGCATAAACAGGTAACTCAAATATGCCTTAACAGCACCACCTTGTGGTAGAAATGAACAGCTTCACACAGGGATGCCAGGTATTTGCAACATAACTAGTGAAATGGCCAATCAAAAACGATCCCAATAACACAAAAAAACTTGGCAACTTCCATCTAAAAAAAATGTATATGTATATTACATTTATACCTCTCTACCAAAACAATGACGTCATATTTCATACAAGCTGTATTTAATTATTAGTTTCTTACTCGGTTCATTGTTTATGAAGCATGTGCAATCATCGGATAAATGTACATAAATTGAGAAGTTTATGCAAAATATCTGAATAACATAGGCTAATCTCTAACCTAATGCTAACAAAGAAAAATATGAAAAAGAAAATCTTCAGTGTCCAAAACGTTAATGCTTTACCCACACTTTACAATAAGGCTTCAGTAGTTAAAGCAGCATAATTGACTTGGCAACACAACTGACAGATTACAAGCAATAATGTGGTAGACGATTTGATCTAAAGACAGCGGGAGCTTATGGAGATTTTTGTTTTGGGGTGTTTTGGAGGGGCAACAGGAAAGGAGGACGTCTGACCCTACGTCTAATGCCCCCAATGGCCCGATGAGTCCTCCATACTGCGGGCCGTTTGTGCAGGTGGGCCATCAGGGTCTGGAGGGGTGGCCCATTCACTTCCCACCCCGCATGCCCAACATCAGCACAGCACCCGGCAGAGACTTCCAGCCCGTCAATCCTGTGAGTCTGTCATGATGATAATAATACGCATCTTATTTTAAATAAGTCTTATCTTATTTCCCATTCCACACCAAAAACACTTATTTTAAAGGGATAGATCACCCAAAAATGAATATTTTCTTAGTTTGTTTTCTTCAGTTTGAGTTTCTAGCTGCGTCCCAAATGCATACTTATGCACTATTCTACGCCATTTTGTAGTATAAATAGTAATAAGTAATAAGTAGTGTGTTCACACTGAAAACTCTAAAAAATAATGAGTGCACTTTAATTACCCGGATGATGCACTCATTCAGCCGCTAAAATAAAGTGTGTAATGATGGACACTTCACGCACTCAACGACCACAGGTTTGCTTACGTAGTGAAATGGGCGGAGCTATCGGACGCACATGTTGGATAGCTTTATTTACTTTGGATGGTCAAAGCAAAATTCTCCTACGACAGTGATTATAGCGCCTCCCGATGTTGAATGCGGCAATACTCACGGCAGGTATTATTTGATAATTCGGTCGTTTATTTCACTGATTTGGCAACCGTCAAACGTCATCAGCGAAACGGTTTGAATTTCTGCTTAGTAAAAAAACATTAGTGCTCCATTTGGGACGACACTACATACATATACTATCCTGTTGAGTGTGTAAGTGCATAAGTACATAGTGCATGAGTGCATAGTGTATAGTGTGGCATTTGGGACGCAGCTTCTGTTATTAATCTATTTCCACACCAAAAACACTTATTTTAAAGGGACAGATCACCCAAAAATGAATATTGTCATTATTTACTCACTTGATTCAAAACTGTTTGAGTTTCTGTCTTCTGCTATTAAACCATTTCCCATTCCACACCAAAAACACTTATTTTAAAGGGATAGATCACCCAAAAAAATTTAATTTTCTCATCATTTACTCACTTGATTCAAACCTGTTTGAGTTTTTGTCTTCTGTTTTTAATCCATTTCATATTCCACACCAAAAACACTTATTTTAAAGGGATATATCTCCCACAAATGAAAATTGTCATTATTTAATCACTTGTTCCAAACCTGTTTGAGTTTTTGTCTTCTGTTATTAATCCATTTCCCATTTTACGTTAAAAAACACTTATTTTAAAGCGACAGTTCACCCAAAAGTGAGTATTCTGTCATTATTTACTCAATTGTTCCAAACCTGTTTGAGTTGAGATATTTTGAAGAATGCTGAAAATCTGTAACCATTGACTTCTATAGTATTTGTTTTCATCCTTTTGAAGTCAGTGGTTACAGGTTTTCAGCATTCTTCAAAATATCTTTCATTTCTGTTCAACAGATGAAGGAAACTCATAAAGGTTTATAATCATTTTAGGGAGAATAAATCATGAGTAAATATCCTTTTTTTGGGTGAACCGTCCTATTGATATAAATATTTTCAAATTAAATTTAAATATTTCTTATTTATATTATAATACAAATATATTGTATAATATAATATTTCTTTTTTTATAATATTTTTTTTAGAGTTTTTTTTAACCTTTTATTGGGATAGGACAGTGGAGGTTACAGACAGGAAAGTATTGGGAGCTGAGAAAGGGGAAGGGTCGGCAAAGGACCTCGAGGTGGGAATCGAACTCGGGTTTCCATGAGCACCATAGGGCTATATGTCGGCGCACTTAACCACTAGGCTATTGGTAGCACGTACGCCTCATAGCAAGAAGGTCGCTGGTTCAAGCCTCTGCTGCGTCAGTAGGCGTTTCTGTGAAGAGTTTGCATGTTTTCTTTATGTTGGCGTGGGTTTCCTCTGGTTTCCTGAAGTCCTCCTTGAAGATTTTTACCTAAGAAACACACAGGTGTGTGATCACTAAGGTTATTACGGTTCATTACAGTGGTGGGCAAACTTTTCTGACCCGAGGGCCACATCAAGTTTTGCAAACCAACTGAAGGGCCACATGTCAAATCCTTTAAGGAATTACTTTAGTTTATGGTGACAGTATGCATGGAACATGTAATATCGGACAGAAACATGTCACGTTAACACAAAATTATTTTTTTAAATAGTTATTATTGAGTCAAATTTACAAGTCAAATGAATGTGCACTGCTATTTATATTTATCATCACTTATCAATCATAAAACAATAAAATAATCCTTTATAAAATATAACAATAATAATAATTATAATAGCAGTAGGTAGTGCTGTCGCCTCACAGCAAGAAGGTTGCTGGTTCGAGCCTCGGCTGGGTCAGTTGGCGTTTCTGGCGTTTCTCCGGTTTCCCCCACAGTCCAAAGACATGTGGTACAGGTGAATTGGGTGGGCTAAATTGTCCGTAGTGTACAAGTATGCATGGATGTTTCCCAGTGATGGGTTGTAGCTGGAAGGGCATCCGCTGCTTAAAACATATGCTGGATAAGGTGGCGGTTCATTCCGCTGTGGTAACTCCAGATTAATAAAGGCACTAAGCCGAAAAGAAAAGAAAATAAATGAATGAAAGTTGGCGGTTCATTCCGCTGTGGCGACCCCTGATTAATAAAGGGACTAATCTGAAAACAAAATGAATGAGTGAATGAAATATTAAAATAATAAAAATAAACAAATGTTGCAATAATAATTAACATTCATGTTATTTATTCTTTACCTTAAAGCATTGATTTTTGTTTTAGAATTGAGTATTGAGTTTGAGTTTGAATTAGTTTTGATTATCATATTTTTCATTTATTTAAAGTTTTTATATTTTTTTATGCTCCGTATAGTTTACTCTTTTTATTTTAAACAACATACATGGTTTTCATTTTAGTTCATCAAATATAACCCTAATTTAAATCAGCAGGACTCAACTTAGTGTATTTCTTTATTTTATTTTATTTTTTTATTTGGCTTTTATTTCTGTAGTTATTAATGCTGAGAAAAACATTATGCTGATCATTTTGCTTCCTTAATACCCTGTAAACTGACCCAAATATATAATTCCAGCACTTTCAAGCGGTAAACCACATGTGGTGGGAAAAAAACAAAACAATACGTGACTGTAATGATTTATACAAGCAGGGTTTTACAAGAGGCTTCAGTGTGCAGAAGTGAACAGAGATCGAAACTGTTGTTTTCTCAGTGTGTATGTTTGTAAGGAAAGCGAACTTAGCTTTGCTGTGTGTGTGTGTTCAGGGTTTTCCCTGGCAGTCATCTTTCCCACAACCACGTGGTTCAAGAGGACAAGCAGACACAGCTCGAGCCCCGCCAGAAACTGCAGGTAAGCAAGCATTGTTTAAAGGAGGGCTTTCTGTATTTTTCCAGTAACGAGCTATTGTTTTGCATGAAATAAACGGAAGACCAACACTTTCTTGTCTGAGCTACTAAAAGAGCTTGTAACAGCATGAAATATTTTGTATGCAACATTTTGGGAATGTTTTAATATCATGAATAAAAAGTATATTTTTCCCAAAAATGTTCAGTCAAAGAACTCTTCCATAAACAATGACATAGGGCTCTATTTTAACAATCTAGGCACAAAGTCTAAAGTGCATTGCACAAAAGTATTAAGGATGCGTCCTAATCCACTTTTTTATTTTATTTTTCGCTAGTTTAAGGACGAAAAAATACGATCTACACCCTGGCGCATGGTCTAACAGGGTTGTGCTTATTCTCTTAATGAGTTCTGGACATGCATTAAACCAAACACAGTCTCATCTCCAATTCCGTTTAAAGCACATCACACACCGGATGCGCCGCTCAGCGTCGCAACACAGCGCACACATGACAGTTAAAAAATATCGCACACCAGACGCGCACATTCAAAATAAACTTATTCAGACGGCGCTATGTGGTAGAGATCTGCGCAGGACTAAATTTTGAATCCTAGTCCCGCCTGGTTTTAGTTCGAGCCCGACCGCTCCCGCTTATATTCAGCATTTGTTGCCTCGCTGCCCAACCCGCTCCGTTTTCTACCCGCCACGCCAGTTCCCGCTAACGGGGGGGACCGAAAACAACCCAGCTATACAGAGTCCAGACGGCCTATAACAAGTTGTCTGTATACACACACACACACACACACACACAGACACACACACACACACACACACACACACATAGACAGCACCAAGCTCTCTCTCTCATTCACACACATACATACGCACATACACACACATATACACACACACATAGACAGCAACAAACAAGCTAAACAGCATCACGCTCTCTCATTCACACACATACATACACACACACACACACACACATAGCCAGCACCAAGCTCTCTCTCTCATTCACACACATACATACGCACATACACACACATATACACACACACATAGACAGCAACAAACAAGCTAAACAGCATCACGCTCTCTCATTCACACACATACATACACACACACACACACACACACATAGCCAGCACCAAGCTCTCTCTCTCATTCACACACATACATACGCACATACACACACATATACACACACACATAGACAGCAACAAACAAGCTAAACAGCATCACGCTCTCTCATTCACACACATACATACACACACACACACACACATAGCCAGCACCAAGCTCTCTCTCTCATTCACACACATACATACGCACATACACACACATATACACACACACATAGACAGCAACAAACAAGCTAAACAGCATCACGCTCTCTCATTCACACACATACATACACACACACACACACACATAGCCAGCACCAAGCTCTCTCTCTCATTCACACACATACATACGCACACACACACACACACACACACACACACACACACACACACACACACACAGACAGCAACAAACAAGCTAAGCAGCATCACGCTCTCTCATTCACACACATACATACGCGTGCTCGCTCGCTCGGGAGTTGAGAGCGATATTGTTAGACCGCCCGCTCCCGTTCAAATTACACCAGTTACCAAACGCTCCTGCGCTTTATTCTGAAATTTATTCCGAATGCAGACCTCTACTCTGTGGTGTGGCAGAAATATGAACAGTGTCCTGAGTCGTGGCTGGGTGCCACGGACAGCCGCCGAATTGCAGCACTGGTGTGTGTACCCTAATAGCATGACGTCGCTTGGCACAGCGCGTCTCTTAGCAGCGATTCTGGTGTGTGACCCCCTTAAGAGTCAGTTGTGTCACCCCATAGCGCATTTGCTATTTACATGGTGCAAAAACTGAATGCTTCACTAGCGGGAAAACAGTTAAACAGACCATCTGCAGAGCAAAGATCGAACGAGCCTCCTCCATCCGGCCTCTTTACTTTCTCTTTACATTTACACCTTTACTTTTGCGGATGAGGAAACAGTGTTGTACGCACTCCACTGAAGACATCCATTAGCCTACATATTTAATTTAGTATTTAAGTGCAAAGATTTGTTTCAAAACTATTTCTAAATTCAGTTCCAATTTCCAGCAAATGAATAAATGAACAATAATAATGAAGTGTGCTCAAAACACCTGAGTTATATCTAAACACCCGTCCTGTTCTTATGCCCATATGGTGGTGCAGACATCTTCCAAACCTGACAGGTGGACAAATCTAACCTTGTTTATTAAAACAAATGTAAATCTGCAGATAATAAATAATACTGCTAATAATAACAACATTATACAAATGCAAATAGTCATGAATAAACTGGAAAAGTCCCCTGAGATGAGGCATGGAGGCAGGGGTCTTTATATTTATGTGGAAAATAATAACTCTTGTAACATTTGAATTCTTTATTGTTTTTATAAGTAAAGATATTTGTGTATTGCTGTACATCCTGTGTGTATTAAGCAGTGTGTAGGTGTTTGAATTCTCATATGGCCCGTTTCCACTGAGTGGTACGGTACAGTACGGTTTGGTTTGGTATGCTTTTATGGCCGTATCCACTGTCAAAAGGCGTAACGAACCAAACCGTACCACTTTTTCGGGACCCTTTCGAAAGGGTCCCAAACTGCAGAAAGGGTCCCAAAAGATGGAGCTACACGCGCAGCTGCACGCTATTGGTTTACAGAGATACGTCATTCGTAGACTCAACAAGCCAGAATGTAAACAAAGGATGAAATACACAGCGAGAGATTACAGCGGAATTATAAATACATATGCAGCCATGGTCGATCCTGCAAACAAACCCTGTCGTCGTCATGATAAACAGCCACAAAGCCATGGAGAAGAGCAGATTCACCCTGTGCCGCGTAGTTTTTAACGAGCCAGTCTGAAGCCCGAGTGGTTTCGCTTTCTTTCTTGCGCTCGCCGCGCGTCTCAATCTGAAATAACAAACTTCTTGATCTGATGATAATAACATGCACTTGATTATTGACAAGCTTTGGAAACTCGATCCTGTGAGAAGCTTACAAACGAGAGTGATACATTCAGAAAGAAAAGAACAAACACGAGAGTGGAGAGCGGAAAAAAAGGCGAAGCCAATGAGCACGTTATTTCTTCAGCAAACTTGAACAAACTGCCTTGTTTTAATCTTTATTATCACCTTTTGGACTAATATGAACTGGGAATGATGGAATGACTCTCTAACAGAGGCTTCATGTGCTGCTGAAGATTACAGACACAGATGAGAGGTTTTCACTGACTGTAGGCTATACTTTGTGTTGTTTTGAACCTAATTAACAACGAAATGTCTGCTTTGTGTAGTTCTTCTGTAGTTGGCAACATATCGGAGACTGTAAGGGTCTGTATGTGTTCATATATGTTCATTTATTTATTTATCTAATATAACACCATCACACCATCATTGATCTGCAGTTATAATCAACTCCTGTTTATAGAAAACTTATAGAAAAGTTAGTAATAAACATTTATACACAAGTATTTATGTGTGTAAAGCATGTTTTGTGAGAAGTGCTTTTCATATGATACGACCTGTGCAGCTTTATTGTAGACATTTTCTCGAGCGAAAATGACGTCGACTGAAACTTTGTCGTACACCACGCCCACCAAAAGGGTAACCTTGGTAGTGGAAACGCAAGCCTGATAAAGGTGACCCGTACCGACCCGAACCGTACCGTACTGTACCAGTCAGTGGAAACGAGCCAATAGGTGCATAACTAACACGCTCTGCGCTGGACTTTAAAGCAGCTTTTAGTTGGTCAATGGCGCGGTCTATATCAGTTCCTCAAAATAGCAACGTGCCAACAATGCACCTTAACACAACTCTATTTTAGACCAGCACACCCATGAGTCCACAAAGTGGCGCAAATGGATTTAAACAACGTGGTGCAAAACGTGAGAATTACTGTTGCGCTGTTCTGAAAATAGCAACAATCACGCCACACACGTCTTGCACCTTATTGCGCCGAGTGTATGATAGGGCCCATAGAGTTTCTCTTTATTGCATTTTAAAAGCAGTAATCTGGAATATTTGGGTTGAGTTTGTGAAGTAAGTGCTGATTCTTAACTTGTTTCTTGTGTGTTTGCAGAAATGGGAGCAACTGGATTTGGGAAAAGGGAGCGTCAGAATATTGACCCCGGAAAGCACTAACCACACTCACTCTCTCTCTCTCTTTCTTTCTGTCTCTCTCTCTCTCTCTCCTGAAGATCTCTCGGCTTGTAGCATGATGCAGTTTTCATTTCTCCGGTTGGCATGGTGTGAACTATTGTTTTATTTTTGTTAGTTTTCTCCCTGCTCTGTACATATCTATATCTACCACTGATGAAAAATGTTGTTTATATTATTCAGTTTTATAATCCTGTTTGTGAAACACTGTTCTGGCAAATTAAGAATATATATATATATATATACATTTATTATTTGACCTTTTTATGATTGTCGAGGATTATCTGCTTTATGTATACCTCTATGCAGGAATTGAAGTCAGTTATTTAACGGATATTACGATTGAATGTTGTTTTTTATAGCAATCTACCTACAGAGTTACGATCTCCATCAGAAAACATGTTTAGTGATCGTCGGATTTGTTAGAAATGTGTTTTGGTATTTGTGTAAGCAATTCGAGAGAAAGAGAGAGAGAAAAAAACTGTGTGCCTAACTCTATAGGTGAATTGTACTGGAAATAGCTAACAGTAGAATGTGACTGATTGCACTGCAAAAATGCGTTTCTTACTTAGTTTTTGTCTAATTTCTAGTCCAAATATCTAAAAATTCTTCAATCAAGAAGCGTTTTCTTGACATGCATTAAATATTGTTTGGTTTTCAGCAATAATGAGTCAAAATTAAGGGAGTTTTTCACTTAAAACAAGCAAAATAATCCTGTTTTTCACTTTGAAACTCAAAAAACCCCATGACAAAATCAACATTAAATAGCAAAGTGTTATACTTCACAATGACTGAAGTGTAGTTTCAGTTTTGGGATTGTTTGATTGTGTGTATTGTAACAAAATTAGCTCAATTTATGAATATTAATGATTAATAAAAACAAGTTATTGTTAGTTATGAATATTCAGGATTAACTTATAGTTAATTTAACTATATTAATATAACAATGACTTTGCCCGCTTGTCTGAGCAGACTTTTTTAGTGTAAATTTATTAGAAAAGGAATTATACTTGTGAAGTAGATGAACAGTTTAGAAGTTTTATTCAACTCTAATAGGCTGGTGGTATCTTTTGTCGATAAAAATGTTTCTGTGAGGCAAAACGAACACAATCCAACGTGGCTATACGATTTAATGACTAGTCTAATACATAACGAACCAAACGTACAATACATAAAACAAGAATACAGAAGGAAATAAAGAGTTTAGATAAAGTTTGGTAAATTTCCCACATGATTAATAATAACCACCAACTAGTGATAAACAGCTTAAAAGCGGAAATAAAGAAATACTTGCATCTCTCTCTCTAATGTTGTGCGATTTCTCTCTGATGTTTGGAAGATGGAGTCTGTTAGGAAGTCCTTTTGTTGTTTGCGTGGAGTTTGCAGTGCAGGTCAGAGGATACGCAAGGTGCGAACTGAGTTTAGACTTGCTGGAAAATAAGAAACGTGGACTCAGATGAGAAATTGGGGCCGTACTCACACTAGGTACAGTTGCCTCGAACCGGGCCAAAGCACGCTTGTCCCCCCTCCCATCTCCCCCGACGGCCCGCACTCACACCACAAATGGGCCTCGGCACGCTTACGTCATCCCTGCTCCGCTGTTCAGTGAGAAGCGCTGTCCCTAAGCAGCACAGTGGAGATTTCTCTAGTTATATAGTTTCAGTCGTTTATTATGCAGTGACATGCAGTCAAATATTTCGCCAAACAGTCCTTAGGGATGCGGTGACACGCAGTCAGATATTTCACCGGACAGATCCGCCACTTTTGGCGCTCATAAACAATCAAAGCTCTCGTGCTGCAGGAATGAGGAGGTCTGCTGAAGGTGCGCAGCTGTCGTGCAGTGAGGAGTTTGCGTATTTAATAAACTACGGCAGTTTGTGTTCACTGAACAGTAAGAATGATTAATAAATCCATATGAAACAGCCTCTTAAAAGTCACGTCTCGCTTTCAGTTTCGGGCTTTGGCGCGTTTTGCACTCACACACAAGCGTACCGCGCCCAAGCCCAAGTGAACCGCGCTCAGGCACACCTCTTCCAACCGGGCCAGGGCCGGCCAAGTGAACCGTGCTTGAGCCCGATTCAGCGCACTCACACTTCTCAAACGATCCGGGAAACGGGCCTGGGCACGGTACGGATGGCATAGTGGGAGTAGGCCCTAAGTCTAGATGTCCCATTTTTGCTTTCCATTGTGCAAGATTTATAGATTATTCATGTTCTCCATGCATCTAAAATGACGGTGGTTCTTGATACAGTACTTTATAAACGCAATCACAATTTATTTTGTTTATTGTGGTTTCAAAACTCAACTTTCGTTATTTTTAGCTATGTTTCCATTTAAAGATGCAAATTAAACTAATGCACAATTGGATTATTTTGGTTTCAAAACTCAACTTTAGTTCTTTTATCGAATCAAGACGTGTAAGAAGGGTCAGAAATTAGATTTTAATTTATTTACATCAACTTTAATTTACAGCAGTGAATTTATCAATACATAGAAAGCATATTTAATGCATGCAAAACGTCTATTTATATTGGAGCTTTCTGTAAATCATGGTAATCATGTCAGGTAACTATAAAATGGAAATAACTACCTGCAGACCTTTATTATTTTATTATTTAAGCTTGCATTTTTGGTCCATAAACATTCTGAACGGTGATTTTAATTATCTTTCTGTCCACGTCAACTTAAATTTACAACAGTGCATTTATTAATACACTAATAATATATTTAGTGCAAGTAAAGTGTTTTTATTTATGTTGGTGCCTTTTGTAAATCATGGTAATTTCGTCAGATAGCTATAGAAAAGAAATTAACTGGGCATTTTCTGTCAAACCTTTATTATTTTAATATTTATTCTTGTTTTTTTTTAACCATAAACATTCTAAAAGGTGAAATAGTAATACATGTGCAGTTTTATTTCAACTTTTAATGCAAAATAGTCTTGTTTTTGCTTTGAAATATGATTATTTCACTCCCCCCATTGGCAGATTTGCTTGTTTAAAGGAAAACACACTTCATTTAGACTCCACATTTCTGAAAATGACAATAATTTTGTACTATTCCACAAAATGCTTCTTGATTGAAGAGTTTTTAAACTATTATACTATAAAAAAAAAAAACTAAGTCAATCAGCATTTTTGTTTGTTGATTCCTCCATTGGCTGTGCTTGGGATGGTCTCACACAGGGGCGCAACTACACATTTACTGAGGGGTATGCGGGTTCAAATTTTGTGTGATCCCTCTTATTTTATATTAATTATTAATAATAAATGAAGACAAATTTTCAGATTAATCTTATAACTTTTGACATTATGTATGATTTGACAGTTTATTTTGATAAAAATAAAAACAAATCTAAACAGTCTACATGAACACTTTAGGCTGTGGGACTGCATGTTATTGTGTTAAATCATTTTTAATTAAACAATAACTATATTAAATTCGTTTAAAATGCAAAATAATGTTTTTTTAACAAAACATATTTATTTATTTTTATTATTTGAAACTTTTAATAAGGATAATTTTAAAAATAGTTTTGGCACAACGGCGCCCCCCCATGTGTGGCGCCCTTATGCGCCGCATATACTGCATACCCCCTTGTTGCGCCACAGGTCTCACACACACATACACTGTTGACTGGTCATCTTCTGTCCCACTGTTTAATATTGAAGCCATACACCAATCCCTTTCCATCTATTAGATTGTTTAACGAGTGCTTGTTGATCTTTCAGATACTTATGATTGAAGAGGGTCTTCATCTGGACGCCAGAAGTGATATTGTAGTTTTGCTTAATATTGTTCAAGATTCAGTGTTCAGAAACATTATTCCCAATGTGCAAATGGAAGTGATAAGTTATTTATATCTATTGTTTTGACAGCTGAGTGTGTTTTATTGTCTTAATGTTGTCTTTAGTGTATTGTTTATTTTGTGTGTCTCCCTTTACATATTATAGCTACTGGAAGACTAGGATGTGAGTTTGTGTGTTTGTGCACACACACACACACAGTTACAGAAAGTGGGCCAGAATAAATAAGTTAATGCATCACGGTAGTTCAGCCCACGTTTTATTGCGCTCTTTCTGGATTTTGTTCAACAACTACACCGAGTTAGGGTAATTAGGCAAGTCAGTGGTTTGTCCTGTAGACATTTGAAACAAATTCTGCTTAAAGGGGCTTATAATATTGACCTTAAAATGATGATTAAAAAATTAAAAACTGCTTTTATTCTAGCCGAAATAAAACAAATAAGAAGAAAAAATATTATAGGAAATACTGTGAAAATTTCTTTACTTTGTTAAATGTCATTTGGGAAATATTTAAAAAAGAAAAACAATTGCAGGGTAATTTTGACTGTTTAACCAAATTGGGTCCATTATTGCACTTAAAACATTGCGCTATGTTTGTAATGAGATGATCAGGGTAATAACCACACACTTTTCTTTCTGCTTTGCGATACATTTTAAAGTCTCCAACTGCACTGACCTATGCTTTAAACCAGGGGTGTCCAAACTCAGTCCTGGAGGGCTGCTGTCCTGCATATTTTAGTTCCAACCCTAATCAAACACACCTGAACCAGCTAATCAAGCTCTTTCTAGGTATACTAGAAGCTTCCTGGCAGGTGTGTTAAGGGAAGTTGGAGCTTAACTATGCAGGACACCGGCCCTCCAGGACCGAGTTTGGACGCCCCTGCTTTAAACCAAACGCAAAAAGGTTTGTATGCTCACAAAAAACACCCAATTGGCTTGATTTCAGAGATGGTGTGATATTTGTCATGTAAATGTTTCAAAATAGGCATCGTGTGGATGAGTTAAGTGTTTTGAAGTGGACATGTGTTTGAGCTGGATTGCACTTTGAGACGTGAGCTTTATTCACTCGTTTCCATCAGTGTCTGGTTGTGCTGTTTTGGAATGACTTTTTGTTTTCCTCCAGAGGGCGAAAGCAGATCTCATGTGAAACTTTTGTAATTGATTAGCATAATAAATATATTCTAACTGTCTAGACTAACTGTGTGAGACTTTATAGGTGCACATTTTTCATTACGGTTTGAAAACACAACAAGCGTTGTTGCCAACTAATTTTCAGAGGAAGTAGTTGGGTTACCTATTCATTCATTTATTTTCTTTTCGGCTTAGTCCCTTTATTAATCCGGGGTCGCCACAGCGGAATGAACCGCCAACTTATCCAGCACGTTTTTACGCAACAGATGCCATTCCAGCTGCCACCCATCTC